AAGAACGAAACAGAACAAAACCCTCTTCAGCATGCAGAGTTCTAAGTTTAATGAATTAATGTGAGCATTAAGATCTTACTGTAAAAAAAAATCACAAATTAGGAGCATTTTTACTTTCTCAGCAAAATAATTTGAACTTTCTAGGAAAACAAGTCCTCAAGATGGTGTTTTAGCCTAAAGCTTGCTAAATGCCTTTGTGCCAAGCTTTCAAGTACTTCATTTGACATTTAGAGCAGACATTTTTTAACTACACTACAGCATACAAAATCATTTAGGTAGCAACACCTTTAAAATAAAAAAAGAAAGAATATTAGAGTTTAATTAGAAGCTCTCTTGTTCTACTATGTTATGAGACCCTGAAAGATATTAAGACACATTAACAACAAAAGATACCCTATGTCCACATTTTAGGCATAACCATATCGAAGGGCCTTCATCAGTCTCCTCCTCCTCAGACTTCTCTTGGGTCTTATTGTCTGCCTTGCAGTCCTGACAAACATGCCATTCCACGTTCAGCAGTGCCTTTTTCAGATGACCTTGGTCCAATCCTTTACGAATATGTTTGCATGTAGGTTCTATAAGATAAAAAGCACAAGAAGGATGTAGGTATCATAACAAATGCAAATGTTAAGGACACAGGCAGCAATCCAGAAGTTGGGATAGTCTTTCTAGAGTCAAAGAAACATTGACAATTTATCAGATGTATCAGAAAGAAACCCTTTATTATCCTCATTCAGAATCTAGGGATACCGTTGCTGCATCCCAAACTATTGTATTGCTAAAAGTATCCCACAGAGTTACATCTAGTTAGAGGAGTTGACAGAACTTTTGGATACACACTTACCTAGTATGTCAGGCTTTTATTATTGTGGTGTTATGATTCCCAAACCTCCCATGGAGCAGCCACAGCCCACCACCACAGTTTCCCATCACCAAGGCCGCACCTGCCTGTCTTACAGAAGTGGAGATTATGGAGTCTCTGCTTCCAGCTGAGCTGCCTCAGTGAAATTATGCAGCAGATTATGGTAAAAAAAGAATGGCAGTCATAGTTCTCGTGCTGTTATCACTTTGCACTGCGATACTACAACCTAACTGCACCTTCTGGGCCTGGTGTGAACTCCATCTATTTAACCAAACTTTGCTAAGAATGATTACACCAAGAACAGGCATCTGTTGCTAAGAGCCACTTTTCAGGAGTTTAACTATCTTATTTCTTCCTGTTTAATTTTTCAAGTTGTTGGTTACATTTCTGCAAAACAGCTATTGACAAGAATTATACCACTGTTTGCATAATTAAGCTGTCTTAAGTCCTGTTCTTTGAGGTATTTTTATTGCTCAGATAGTGTAACAGCTCTGAATCCATCTTTGTTGAGGATCCCATGCAAGATTACAGCCTCAAAATAGCAAACTGGTGCAAATTTTGGACCTACAGTTCTGTTCCTGTCCAAGATTACAGGATTTTAGCACAGTGCAAATGCTAGCCAACAAAAGACAAATACAGATATTTAGATGCGTTCTTTAAGCCTTTTAAAAAAACACAAGCTTCATCTACAACTTCAAATTTTTTAAAAAGAAATCCAAACCTTTTGTATTTTGCCAACTACTATTACAGTTGAATTATTCATAATAAGTCTTAGTTTCTTTTGTGGCTTTATAGAACTCTGTCATGGTAAAATAAGCTATTTATAGCCAAAGAGGTGAAATGCCATCAGCAATGACACCATAACTGATCTCTCTGCTGGAGAAGAAGAGGAACCGTTACAGCACACATGGACCTAGACTCCAGGAAACAAATAAAAAACCCCAAAACCCCAAACCAACACCCCCCAGAAACCCAAACAACCAAACCAGACAAAAGCAGCTAAAAAAGCCTCTCCCATCGGAGACAGAAGCCACCCAAAGAAGACCAGGACACCGAGGAACACGAAGTACAGTAGACTTGAATTTAAACAGGCCATCACACCAAGCCTCCTGGCTGAACTTGTAAGTGCACTCTCTCACAGATAAATCAGCATGGCTCAATTCACTGCCCCAGTCGGGATCACTGAAACAGATGAGCAAGATGCAATCTGTGACCTGGTAGACAAGGTGGTAGAAGAGAACGCTACACAGCACAAGGAAAAACAAAACCTACAATAACCAGGGTAAACAAGATAAATTAAATTTCAAGATGGGGTGAGATCAAGTAGAGCTAGAATAAAATTTACTATTTGGGATTAGGAACTATTAGGAACGGAAGGAAAGGAAGATATTTTAACCAAAATTCTCTATGACTAGAGAGCTGAGCTGTCCAGGGTCAGTACTAAATTAGCAGCTACAATAAAGACAAATTATTTCACAGAAAATACTTCAATCACAGCCCTTATTGCTAAAGCAAGAATCTTCTGTAACAAAATTTTCATTAGGAGAATGCTACTTAAGCCTTAAGCTTAACAGCTGACCCTTTATATTTTGAGAAATTTTATACAACCTGTGTATCAGTAAAGAACTGTGTGTCTGAGTTTCCTAAAAGCCAGAAAACAATATTAGTTTTCAAGATGAGATTATTATTTTCTAGCATACTTAGAAAAGTAGCAACACGTTTCTTGTTAGACCTCAGTTTCAATTTAAAAAATCCACATTTTGTAAATGAGACTCCAAGGACAGTGACTAGTGTAAGGGCCTTCTAATATTAACCAGCTTTCAAGCCTTCTTTGAGGGTAAAAAAACATTAGGTTCACAGACTTCTCTGGGGAAACATACTCAGTATATCCGGAGACTCATCAAACTGTGCAGTTTTGCCTTTGATGCGTTTCTTTCCCATTTTTGTAGTTTTTAATTGTTCTTAAAAGGAAGAGTGACCTAGGAAAGAAAAAATAGTAAAATTAGAAAGTAATTTTGGCTTTACTTGTTCATTGCTACACAAGTTATTTCTATGGCTAAGCTGTCCCTTGAGGTGAACTAACTTGCCTTGATTTGACATTTTGAAAAGAAAAAAAATAGTAATTATATTTTAACATGAAACAATTGTAGCTGTTGTACAGACAAGATCACAGTGTGAATTACAAAACCCAAATGACTGAAAATCTTAAGTCAAAAGCATTGCACAAACCGAGAAGATTGGAAACTTTAGTATCAAAAATACTATGACTCGTTAGGATTTGTACTCTAACTAATAACAACAGAGGGATTTTATGAAAAAGAATTAGTTTTGTCCCAATTGAAGTTATTTGCAATTACAATCTTTCTGTTTTGTTTATTCCAAATTCCTTGTGTCTTTGATGAAGTCTGACACATGCAAAAACTCTAATATAATTGAAAATACACAGACGACGGGAGTTCCAATTTTTTAATTTCTTCACTGGGAAAGATTTATCATCACCTTCCCCACACATCAAGCAAATAATTCAGATGGGTCTGTTATTTGCTATGCCTGTAGACTCTTCTCGACAAGAGTGATCTACCACTACAGAAACCTAAACCAAATGCTTGGCTTCAAAAAGGTGGCTACTGCACATATGGTAGGGCATTTTTAGTTTCTAGTCTGTAGCCCCTGTAGTAAAGATCATCCAAAAAGCTCAGGTAAACTTAAAACTCGACATATTCTATACAACGAAAACAAGGAAGCTAAAAGGGTTCCAAATGAAGTCTCTGCAGTCTTTGCAGGCTAGCCTAACCCTGCAGTCCACCCTTCACTTAAACACAGTCAGCACTAAATCTGACCTGTATCAGCCCATCCTTTCAAACCCCTTTCTTAGCTCATACTCGGCAGCACACCAGCCACAGAGCACAGCTGCCTGCTCGCAGTGGTCGCAGCCAAAAAATGAAGCCACACCAAGAGAATCAGAGAAAAACTAAGCGGGGAAGAGCTTAGGCATGATACTCACAGACGACTTTTTTTATGAAAAGCCTTTTACAAACACGTTTGCACGAGCATGTGTACGTGAGCATGCTCTTAGGGCAGATGACCCAGTTGCTGATGGAAGCTTGACAGACATTTCATTAAGGGCAGAATTATCAACTTTTGCAACTTAGCATTCGATTAGTTCACAAAAAGAAATGACAGTTCATCCAACAACCCTTCCCTAGACCGCATTTTTATGCAAAAACTACAATACGTACCTTATACGAACAACTTTTAATTGTTAAAATCTTTTCCAAATTGTCCTTGCTCCTGCCAGGAAGGTAGGACAGCAGGAACACGTGTAGCTATTAATTTAACCCACGCTGTGCCTGGGCAGACTTCTCTGACAGGTTCTGCACTAGCCTTTTCAGGGCACAGCCCTCACCACGAAACGCGCTGCACCGCCTAAACGACTAATACATTTTATTTAGTATTTTTTGAGATAAGATAGAGCACTCTGCAAATGCGCACCTGCACCTGACACCCTGGCAAAACGCCCTCAGAGGCTCACCTGGGAGCCACCGGGGTGTGGTGGGGAGCAGGCTGGGCTCCAATGGCTCTGCCGGGCTCCTGTCGCCAGCCGACAGCCCGGTCCTGAGGGGAGCAGGGGCAGCCCGCCACGACGGGGAGCAGGTGTGCCTTGTGGGCGGGCACAGCCCGGCTGGGCATTCACCTGGGCACTCGGTGGGTGCTCAGGTGGGCACTCGGCACTCAGGTGGGCACTTGGTACTCAAATGGGTGCTCAGGTGAGCACCCGGTATTTAGGTGGGCGCTCAGATGGGTACTTGGTACTGAGGTGGGCGCTCAGGAGGGCGCTGAGGTGAGCACTCGGCACTCAGGTGGGCTCTCAGGAGGGCGCCCAGATGGGCGCTCCGTACTCAGGTGAGCGCTCAGGCGGCCGCTCCGCCCGTCCCGTTCCGCAGCCCCGGGGCCGCCCCGCGCCCCCACCCCACGTGCACGCCGCCCCCACGCCGCGCGCCGCTGCCCCGCCCCGCCCGCTTCCCATTGGCCCGCGCCCGCCTCCCGCGCCATCACTGACAGGCACCGCAGCCAATCGGGAGCGCCGCGTGTCCCGGCCGGAGCGGTGGCTTCGGAGAGAGCTCCGCGCTGGGAGGAGAAGAGAGGCCGCGGCGGTAGGAGCGCGGCGGTAGGAGCGCGGCGTTAGCCGCGCGGGGCTCCCGTCCCTCACCTGCCGGTGCCGAGGGGCGAACAACTCGGTGGTACATGGCTCCGTCTCGGGGCAGACGGCAACCTCACCTCATCCCCCAGCGGCGGGGCAGCGGTCACCGGCTGCCATGGGCGCTTCCGGCGCGCTGCATTGTGGGGCCGTGACGAGGCTGGGAGCGGGACGTGTCCGCGCATGCGCGGGCGCCACCGCTCCGAGCTCCGTTGTGATGTTGGTGAGCGCCGGGCGAGGACAGGGACAGGGACAGGGGTAAGGGCAAGGACCGGGACCGGGACAGGGACCGGGACAGGGACAGGGACAGGGACAGGGACAGGGACCGGGACAGGGACAGGGACAGGGACAGGGACAGGGACAGGGACAGGGACAAGGCAGGGTCAGGGTAGGGACAGGGCAGAGACAGTGACAGGACCTGAGGGAACGGCATGAAGCTGTGTCAGGGGAGATTTAGGTTGTATATTAGGAAAAGGTGTTTCACCCAGAAGGTGGTTGGGCACTGGAACACTCTCCCCGGGGGCGGTGGTTGTGGCACCAAGCCTGAGGAAGTTCAAGAAGTGTTTGGACAATGCTTTCAGGCACATGGTGTGACTCTTGTGAGTGTCCTGTGCAGGGCTAAGAGTCGGACTCAATACCGCTGGTGGGTCCCTTCCAACTTAAAATATTCTGTCATTCTATAATATGATTTATATAGGGATAGTTAATGAAATCTGTCCCACATTCAAGCTGTATTTTTCTTCCCTAAATTTTTCTTTGCTCAGGGAACAACAGAAATGACTAACCAAGAAGAAGCAGAGATGCAGATTTCAGAGTTAGATTTACTGTCTAGCATGTTTCCTTATGAGGAGGAGTTTGCTGTGACAGACCAGCTGGCTCTAGCTGAACTGAAACACTATGCTGAAAATGAGTCTGCAGAGGTGCCGTCTTCGAAAGTTCAGTTTGTACTGAATGTAAAGGCTGAGGTCCCTAATGCCTCTGTGGTACTGTGAACATATATTTTTTTTGCTTTATTTTATTTTATTTTTTTGTGGGATTTTAGGGCTTACTTGAACTAAGCATTTGCTCCTTTGTTTTCAGGTGGAATTCTCTATGGCCTGTGCTTTGCCATTTAAATATCCAACTGTTCTACCGGAAATCACTGTGAGGTATGGCAGCTCATAAAAGCATTTAAAAGTTATTGTGTGTTACAAAAATACAGTTATTATAAGAGAAAGCAGTCCTCTTTTTTGATGGTTTACTGCCAGATTAGGCTGGGTGGACAAGTGTTGAAGAAAATCAAATCTTAAAAGGTTATGATTTCTCAGCAAATAAGCAAAGGGAAAAAGTGTATAGGAGTGCTGTCGTCTGTACAGAAAGGTTACTGTAGATACTGTTCATAGGTCTCATGCTCAAGAAGAGAGACCGTTGCCTGTTTTGATAAAGCTTAACACTAACTAAAGGAATGAGTAGCCAGTGGTCTTATTTTTCCCCTGTCACAATGCTGTTGCTCCCAGCCTTCTGATATTTTTTACTTCTGTTTAAAGAAGTAGCCTTGCATATTATGGGAAATTAGTCCAGCCACCATACTTACTTTTGAAGTGCCTTTTTCTTGATTTTGATTTACAGATTGGTAGTACTGTGTGTGAATTTAAGAGTTAGCACACCAATTAAATACTAATTGAGACATTTTCACAGCTAATGTGACTTAAATATCAGTAGCAAGTGCATATCATGTAAATATGCCTGATTTTCTTGGCAGCTTGAAGTAAAACTTTTGAAAAGTTATGAAGCTTGGGAGGGGTCTAGAGAGTAAGTTGTATAAAGAGTGGCTGAGGGAGCTGAGGTTGTTTAGTCTGGAGTAAAGGAGGCTCAGGGTAGACCTCTCCCTACAGCTATCTGAAAGGACATTGCAGCAAGGTGGGGGTTGGCCTCTACTCCCAGGCAACCAGTGACAGGATGAGAGGAAATGGCTTTAAGCTGCACCAGGGAAGGTTCAGGTTGGACACAAGGAAGAATTTCTTGATGGAAAGGGTTGTCAAGCATTGGAACAGGCTTCCCAGAGAGGTGGTGGAGTCACCGTTCCTGGAGGTGCTCCAAGAAATGACTGGATGTGGCACTCAGTGCTCTGGTCTAATTGACAAGGTGGTGATTGGTCAAAGGTTGGGCTCAATGATCTTGGAAGTCTTTTCCAACCTTAACAATTCTATGATTCTGTGATTCTAAAAACATGCTAAATTGTAAGCACATAGTAACTGCATTTGTACTTTCCTTTAGGTCGTCGTTATTAAGCCGCTCTCAGCAGATTCACCTGAACTCTGATCTAAAAACATATTTGATGCAAAACTGCCGTGGTGAGCCCTGCATGTTGAGTGCAAGGCAATGGGTTAAAGACTACGCAGCTGCTTACATTGACAAAGAGCTTTCATCTTCCTCAGTGACAACTGCAAGTGCCATTCAGGCAGAAGTCACTACATTCACTCGATTGTGGATCTATAGTCATCACATTTACAACAAGCAAAAAAGAAAGAATATTATTGACTGGGCTAAGGAGCTCTCTCTTTCAGGGTTTTGCATGCCAGGGAAACCAGGTGTTGTTTGTGTAGAAGGTTTACAAAGTAATTGTGAAGAGTTCTGGTCAAGGTTAGTTTTTCTTTGTACTTAAATGCCATTAGCAGTTAGAATATTACATTTTTTCATGTTGTACCTGTGGCCAGAAGGTGGGAAATCCAATCACCTTCCAAGATTAAAGATCTGCCAAGTATTGATGATTTAGATGAGGGGATTGAGTCCATCATCAGCAAATTTGCTGATGACACTAAATTGAGAGGGAGTGTCGACCTGCTGGAAGGCAGGAGGGCTCTGCAGAGGGATCTGGATAGACTTGAGAGATGGGCTGATTCCAATGGGATGAAGTTCAATAAAGCCAAGTGCCGGGTCCTGCACTTTGGCCACAACAACCCCCTGCAGCGCTACAGGCTGGGCACAGAGGGGCTGGAAAGCAGCCAGGCAGAAAGGGACCGGGGGGTACTAATTGACAGGAAGCTCAACATGAGCCAACAGTGTGCCCAGGTGGCCAAGAAGGCCAATGGGATCTTGTCCTGTATCAAAAATAGCGTGGCCAGCGGGAGCAGGGAAGTGATCCTTCCCCTGTACTCTGCGTTGGTGAGGCCACACCTTGAGTATTGTGTTCAGTTCTGGGACCCTCAGTTCAGAAAGGATATTGAGGTGCTGGAGCGGGTCCAGAGAAGAGCAACGAGGCTGGTGAAGGGACTGGAGCATAAGTCCTATGGGGAGAGGCTGAGGGAGCTGGGGTTGTTTAGCCTGGAGAAGAGGAGGCTCAGAGGTGACCTCATCACCGTCTATAACTACCTGAAGGGAAGTTCTAGCCAGGTGGGGGGTGGTCTCTTCTCTCAGGCACTCAGCAATAGGACAAGGGGGCACGGGCTTAAGCTCCGCCAGGGGAAATTTAAGTTGGATATCAGGAGAAAATTCTTTACAGAGAGAGTAATCAGGCATTGGAATGGGCTGCCCAGAGAGGTGGTGGATTCACCATCCCTGGAGATTTTTAAACGCAGATTGGACGTTGCACTGAGTGCCATGATCTAGTAAATGGACTGGATTTGGACCAAGGGTTGGACTCGATGATCTCGGAGGTCTTTTCCAACCCAATCGATTCTATGATTCTATTGCATTTATAATAATGTATTTACAACTCTGAATATCCACTGTACTGTTGGTTGCAGCAATCAAAGCAACCATGGTGCACATTTATTTCTGTTTTATTTTCCTCTGTGTGTCACTTTTCTAAGGATGGGCAACAGTTATGTTAGATATGTATGCTCTTATATCACTTTATGTTCGTGTTTTATTCTGCTTCCATCATTTATACTTCTGGGCGATGCAGACTAAATGAACACTGTAATTTGATTATAACAGCTAAGAGAGTATGAGAATTCTTAGCATGGGGAAGGCAGAAGTGAGCACCGAAATGAAAAACACATCTTCATTAATTATTTTGTGAGGAATGACATTAAGGTTTTGGAATCCTGAGGAGATATAAAAAAACAAGCTCCTCCTTATGAGAGTGTTTGCATGTGAGCAGTATTTCTATGACCAGCTCATGAACCATTATCTCTGTCTATGTATGTATATATATATATATAATATATATATGTATACAGAAAAAACAGAATTTTTTGACTCTTGTGATAATAGTTATTCCATAGTATTTCCTAAAACAGTCTTTATTTTATAGACAGATTAGTATTTCTCCAATTGCTTTCAGAGTAAGAAGACTAACGTGGAAAAGAATTCTCATTCGGCACAGAGAAGATGTTTCTTTGGAAGGTGGAGGACATGCTGAGATTCAGAACCAACGGAAGTTTTCCACTTTGGAAGAAAAATGTTTTGATGCACATGGTGCCAGGGGAAATCATATGGATTTGGGGCAACTCTATCATTTTTTAGAAGAAAAAGGATGTGCTGACATTTTTCAAATGTACTTTGGGGTTGAAGGGCATTGAAGGGTTTGAAGATCAGCACAGGCCCCAGCACTTATGATTGGAATTTAATCCTCATAACAGATTCCTTAGCTGTTCTGCAACAGTTGATCAGAGAGGGAATTAATAATTCATGGTTTATGTCATGAATACAGTTTTCAATGAAAACAAATATCCAGTGAAATCCCGAATAATGAAAATGACTACACGAATACTTTATTACTTCATTTACTTTCTGATTTTAAGGAGATTTAGGGTACATACCTAATTACAATTAAAAAAAATGCATTTGATAACCAACTGGGCAGTTATGGAATTACAGATGAATGAATAGATGGAATATAGGGAATGAATATATGAATAAGAAGTTACAAAAATGCAGTGTGGATGTCTCAGGAGGGGAAATGTTATGTTTACATTAATTGCTACTGTTTACATACACTACACAAAGACTTTTTTGTAACAATCTTCTACTTCCTACATGAAAATTTATTAAGCCATGAGATCAATATTTTATTTAAAAACAAACAAAAGGAGGGAGCAAATTTACAAGAGTCTTGCATATGCTAAGAAGCTGAGCTAGGATGCCTACTCTAAGGTGTAAGAGTTTTTTGTAGGTACAAGTGTGTATGCAGGTAAGAGAAATACCACGGTGGTTTCACTACATCTGTAGCTGAAGAGTTTATTTTTATTTGTGTAGAAGCAACAAAGATGAAGAATCAAGGATGGGCTCCCTTACAGCGCACTCCAAAACTGTGAAATGATCCTCAGCCTTCTGAGTTCACAAGTTTTCATTCCTGTAATATAAAGTGCATTATGCTGCGTGTGTTTTTGAGTCCAGTTTCAACAAAGTTGTACTAATTAATCCTAATTTTATCGATACTGTATCTAAATCCCACGTCTGAAAAAGCACAAATTGGTCGCTTTGGATTAAATATTTTTAATAAATATTGATTAAATATTTCTGTACAGATCCAGTAAAATTTGTAGCGATACTTCGGAGTGACGTCATTCGGCAAGTGCGGTTTTGCCTCTGGATGAAATTCCCAAATCCCGCGTCCCTTTAAGCGTACGAGGAGGCCGCAGCTCCGTAAAAGCGCCACGGGAGGCTCGAAGTCTCCGCGCGTTTAAGATCGATGGATTTTTATTCTCCAGTGGATTTTTTGAGCTCCAGGGTGTCCCCGTCAGCCCCGGCCCCGCCCCGGAAGTGCCGCTCGGTCCCTGTCGGGGCCGGCCCGTCCCGGTGCCGCCGCCGCCGCCATGGGGGGGAAGAACAAGCAGCGAACCAAGGGCAACCTGCGGGTGAGCGCGGGCCGTGGGACGGGGAACGGCCGCCCCCCGGGTCCTCGCTCAGCGGGGCCGGGAAGGGCGGTGCGGGCCGGGCCTCGGGGGCTCGCGGGGCCCGCCCCCCCGGCTGCCGTGGGCCGCCGAGGCCCAGCTCTGGCGGGGAGGCGGCGCGGTCGGCGGGTCCGGTGGCGGTAGCCGGGGCCGGGGCCGGGGCCACGTCTGGGCCTGGGGCGTGCTTAGGGGTGTGTGACTGCTGTCGCCGTGGTGTTTGTACGGAGAGGGGCGGCGGTAGGGGCACGTAACTACAAAATCACCGCGGGGCTAAGTTCAGCAAAGTTCAGCGTGGTTTTCTGTGGAGAGTCTTAGAATTCACCTGTTTTGGTGTCTCTGTCTTGCCACCAGGCCAGTGGTGGTGTGAAATCTGTCCTATGTGGTACTCTCAGGATGTGTGCGAAACCTTGTGTTCAGGTTCTGTAATTCCTCCGTGGATTTAGAGAAGACTAGGGAACACAGCACAGCATGTCCTTAATAGTTGAGGGATCACATTCAGAAAAGATTACTTAAACCCCACAAGCTCACAAAACTGCAACTGCTGGTAGGAAGTAAAAGGTGTTTGGAATATGAGGTATCGCAGAGAACACTAAAGCATCAGTCGGTTGTGGGGCAGTCTTTCCAAAGGAGTATGGTGGAAATAAACGTGAGCCAGTGGTACAGTGAGCAACTGGGGCAAACTGGAAGAGATGCTAAATTCGAAAACACACGCCGTAATACTAACTGGTATTATCCTGTTTTACAGGATAATACCCTTTACTCCATTCTTCTATATCCTTTTTGGCCACTTTGTTACTGGGAGAATGTTTTGTGTATCTGCTTTTATTTTTCCCAGTGATACAAATAGCATTTCCTGGGAGCCCTTATTAGCCCATGAGAAGAACTAGGAAAAACGAAAGTATTGAAGGAGGATAAATAGTTTCTTAATAAATTGTTTGCTTACAGAAGGACTTTCCTGTTACGCTTTTTTGTGTGTGTATAAATCCAATAAAACTTTCCATAAGTTATCATGGATTATGAGAAAAGGAAATGCTGATTGATAGAATCAGAGAATAGAATCACAGAATGGCTTGGGTTGGAAGGGACCTTAAGGCCATCTAGTTCCAACTGTTTGCCATGAGCAAGGTTGCTCCGAGCTCCATCCAGCCTGGCCTTGAACACTTCCAGGGATGGAGCATCCACAGTTTCTCTGGGCAACCTGTACCAGGGCCTCACCACTCTCACAGGGAAGAATTTCTTCCTCATATGTCATTTAAACCTACTCTCGGTTTGAAGCCATTCCCCCTTGTCCTGTCACTGTAGTTCCTGACGAAGAGTCCCTCTCTGGCTTCCTTGTAGGCTCCCTTCAGATACTGAAACTCTCCCCAGAGCCTTCTCTTTTCCCAGATGAACAACCTCAACTTTCTCAGCTTGATTCTAAAGCGAAGAATAATTTTCTAGGTCAAACTTCTATGTTTAAAGCATAGGTGGCCTTTTGTTTGTGAGACTTTATTTTAATTAGAAGGTTAATCGTACAATATAAGTAGGATCATCATGTCAAATGCATGATGCATGCAAAATAAAATTAAATACATAATTGACCGCTGTCCCTGTTTTTTGTCAGCCTTCTAGCAGCGGCCGAGCTGCAGAGCTCCTTGCCAAAGAACGTGGAACAGTGCCTGGGTTTATTGGCTTTGGAACATCTCAGAGTGATCTAGGATATGTTCCTGCAATTCAGGGAGCAGAGGAAATAGACAGCCTTGTGGATGCCGATTTCCGAATGGTGTTGCGAAAACTTTCTAAAAGGGACATCACAACAAAGTTAAAAGTAAGTGTGTCCTTTGTCTCCCATAATTCTTTTTTTTGTTGGAAAACAATACACTTTTCTTAAGGATGGGAGAGGAATATGTGAACATAACTAATATTAATTTCATATTGGTAGATTTGCTAGAATTGCAATCCAGAAGTTATCTTGGATAATAGGAAGGTCCATCGTGCAGTTATCTCTATAGATGCTCAATTGCAAGAGATGAATTGATTTTTTTAAAAAGAGAGTTGCAGTTTCAGATATAAGCTGGTAAATTACAGAAAATATCTGTCTGACTTCTTAAGTCATTCTCTTGATATTTTGATTTTAGGCTATGCAAGAGTTTGGGACAATGTGCAAGGAAAGAGAAGCAGAAGTTGTTAAAGGTGTTCTTCCTTACTGGCCAAGAATTTATTGTAAAATTTCACTAGTAAGTACTGAAGAAACTTCTCTGTATACTTCCTCTCTCTGGAACAACCTCCAAGGTGGTCTTTATTGATGTTATCTACCTTTGTTGGAATTACTGACTTGTTCTAGGAAAAACATGAAGTTGAAGGAAATTATTGTTCTTAATTGTGGAGATATTTCAGTTTTGGCAGTGCATGGAGTCTTGAACTTTTGGGTGTCTGGCCTTTATTTCATAGATGGAGATATCTGTTGTTAGATCTTTATGTTTAAAAGATGGTAGGATATTTCTTCTCAGGAAAAGTTCTTTTATGTGCATTCTAGAATGGCTAAAGAGACTGTTTAGTTAATATAATTATAAATCTTTTTGACCTGGGACTAATATCTGACCAGACTTAAAATAAAAAAACGCCCAAAACCAAACCCAAACATGGAGGACCATGGGTAGCCAGATAATAACTAATTTTTTGATATATTTAATACATTTTAAACTCTCTGGACTGGCTACTCTTGAAAACATGATAGGGGACAGAATGGGTCACTATTCTTATCCATTAGAGCAATTCCTAGTGTTTCTTTCAAGAGCCAAGAGCCTAGCAAGTCATGATGTTGTAAATTCATATGCAAATAAACAATAATGATGCAGTGTTTCTGTAGACTTATGGTAGTTCTAATTCAAAAGATGTCTTCGAGGTTTCCTGTTTCTCTTGCCTCTTGTCTTTCTGTTAAATGTTTTTATAAATTGGAAACAGATACTGTATTTAGGGATATTGGGAAAAGGTTACAACTGTGAGTGTCCAACATTTTTGGGAATATGATGCTACTAAGTTGTGGCTCTCCCCATATCTAGGGATAACAAGACTTTATTGTCATTGGTGTCTATTTTCAAATCTAGGTAGCCCAGTTAATCACAAAAATGGCTTTTTAATCATCACCTCTGCTTTGAAGTATCTGGCATCAAAGGTGCCTTTTTTAAACCAGCAAACATTAACTTTCCTTTCTTTTTTATTCTGACAGGATCATGATCGCCGTGTTCGAGAAGCAACTCAGCAATCTTTTGAGCAACTGATTCTTAAAGTAAAAAAACACTTAGCTCCTTACTTAAAAAGTATCATGGGATACTGGCTGATTGCTCAGTGTGACACTTACTCTCCTGCTGCTTCTGCTGCAAAAGTAGCTTTTGAAAAAGCTTTTCCTTCAAGCAAACAGCCGGAAGCCTTAGTGTTTTGTAAAGATGAAATTCTTAATGTGAGTTTATACTTTTATGTTTCTTTAAGGCTTTGTGTATATCAACTATTATTGTAAATTTAAAACTCATCGTGCTCCCATCCATTCTTCACTGTTAAATTTCTTTCTCACCTGAAACTTTGAGAATATAGAACAGTGTGGGTTGGAAGGGACCTTAATGATCATCCAGTTTCACTCCCCTGCCATGGGCAGGGTTACCTTTCACTATCCCAGGCTGCTCCAAGCCCCCTCTAACCTGGCCTTGAACACTTCCAGGGGTGGGGCAGCCACAGCTTCTCTGGGCAACCTGTGCCAGGGCCTCACCACCCTCGCAGGGAAGAACTTCTATAAATAAATATAAAAGAATATGGTAATAAGAACACTGTGATGAACACAGAGGAATCAATAGTGAATTTTCTTGTGTGCATTTCTATGTAATGATGCTCAGTCAACACTTAATGTTACTGGCAGACGGAATAAAGATGCTGGAGTACTTCAGCTGCAGTGAAAAAGGAATAAAGAATGCTGAGCAGTGTTTCAGCCTCTACAAGTTTAGTAATGACTAAGGTTAATGCTCTTATGCCAGTCTTACATGAAACTGAATTGACTGGATTAAAAAAGTAAAAGATTGCATTGCTGGCCCATGTATGCAAACAGAACTATTTTTGTTTTCCTCAGTTTGGCTTCTTTGTAGCAGAAGCACACTGGCACAGGGCTGCAACTTACAAAGTGTTACGGAGCTTTAATTCAAACAGCTACTATGTTGATCATGAGTCAATTAAGTTATTTTCTTTTTCACTAGTTTGTCTAAAATAGACAGCTCAGAGGTTGGGAAATTTTATTGTAGAGCTGTTTCTGAATAATGTATGGACTATATTGTTCACATATAAATATTGCATTTCTTTGTGTTTATGTTTGTTGGGTTTTTTCCCCTTAGGTACTTCAGGATCACCTTCTGAAAGAGACAGCTGATACACTCAGTGACCCCCAGTATGTTTGCCTGCTTTAATGTGTATGGTTTAAGTACTGGTCTGTATTGGGTTCTCTGTCCCTGGAGGTAGTGGATTTAGTTTTGTTTCAAGAGGCAGAGTATTTATTTGAGTCCAGTTCCTAGTGACTTTCTTTGGGACTTAAGTTTAAATGCTTTTGAAAGTGTTACCAGTTATCTAATTCTTGTTTCAGCTGTTTTAGGAGTAGCATTTGTGCTTAGGCAGAATATGAGATGACTTGAAACTCTTTCGAACACTTCATAATGTAATTTAGAACCTATGGAAAGTTTATGTATTTATATTGCTAGCACCTGAAATCAAAAGAACACAGAAAAACTGAAGACAGTTTAGTTTAGAAGAACTTGGGAAGCCTACTGATTTATTTGTTGTTCACTTTAATTTTTTTGTTTGTTTTGCCTTCTGAGAACTGTTCCAGAAGAAGAAAGGGAAGCCAAATTTTTTCGGATTCTGACCTGTTCCTTGTTAGCTTTAAAAAAGTTGCTTAACATGTTGCCCAAAAAAGAGATGCATTCATTAGAGGAAAAGTTAATGTCGCTTCTATCCCAAAACAAATTTTGGAAATACAGCAAACACAACATACCACAGGTGACTTTTTAATTTCTTCTTTATTTTGGTTGGTTTTAGTTAAAGGTGATACACTTAACCTAAGGAAGTATTAGTTGCTTGTATTCTACAGGAATGAACTTTGCACTTTGCTTATGTTTGAAACAGCCTTCAGGTTTCTAGGCCTTAAATAGACAATATTGCTCTAAAATTTACCCAGCAGACCAAACTGTTATTTCTATATCATCATGATCTACTTCTTGGCAATCTGCCATCATTTAAAATTCATCTAAAAGATACAAACTCTGTCAGCTTACTGATTGTGTTCTTAGTGCTTTGGAATTTTCAGTTTTTAAACCATTTTACTGGTCTTTAATCTGCTAAGACCAGTAGTGCACAGAGTGATGAAGTGATGAGGTAGTATTTTTTAACAAGTTTCAAGTTGCTTTTGGGAAAAAATGCCTTTTGAGAAGTATATTAAAATACAACTGAACGAATTGCTGTAAAACATTTGATAAGCCTGTTTAATAATTGCTTTATTTTTCTTTAATAATATTTAAACTTTTGCTGATATAATAAAATATGGGGACCAGACGTTGTAAGTTATGTTGACTTTAAAAGGAACGTTATAAACTACATGTAGTGACAAATTTTGGTTTTTTCCCTGTGGTCTCTGTCAGGTTCGCTCAGCTTTCTTTGAGCTGATTTCTGCTTTTTGCCAGCACTTGCCTGAGCTGGTGAGAGCTGAAGCACCAAGAGTTTGTCCTGCTGTTCTTCTGAGCATTGATGACAGCGATGCAGTGGTGTGTCCTGCTCTTTGGGAAGCTGTACTTTATACTATCACCACTATTGAGGTAATGGGGAAAACTAAGAGGCAGATATTTTCCTCAAACTTAACTTTTCACCAAGTTCTCTGTATAGAATTTGGAAGAAGGGCTTGACTGGGTTTTCTTTATGATTAATAACATGGACTCCTCAAGGCTACATACTCCTTCTTCCCCTTAGGGTTTCAGTGTAACTTTATTGTGTCCAGCGTATTTGAAAATTAGAGTTGTTTTATGAGTTTAATTGAATTAACCTGAATCCCTTTCATTAAATGTAGTTACTAGTAAGTCAAATAATGTTTAAAACCTTTTACTTGGTTAAAGACAGTTAAAAAAAATGACCTGCAGTGCATTTTTGGTTTGTTTGTTTCCCCTTCAAGTTTAAGGGTTCTATAGCTTTTCTTTTTTTTTTTTTTACTGAATTTTAACTGAAATACCAGATTTAAATTTAGTAGCAGGATGAGGTGTTGCCAAAGACTGTGATGTTTTGAGACCTTAATAATGAAGATCTCTTTTGTAACTGCTAGTATGAACTGTAACAATTTGTGTGGAAAAAAAACCCCAAACAATATTTGCTCAACCTTTTATAAATATAGGTATCTGGAACTATACTGAGTATTATAATAAATATGATAGATCTGATGGCAAAAAATTTTGGGGAGGAGAAAGTGCCAAAGTATTTTGTAACCATCAGGAAATTTTTGAAGAGAGTTTCGAAGTGAGTGATGCTTCTAAAGTCAGTATCACTTGATAATGAGAACTTAAAATTAAATACTGGGCTAATTACAATGATGACTTTTATGAAGCATCGTGAAAGCATTATTAAAGAGAAGCCTTTGATTCCAGCTGGCTAATAAGGAAGGTCAGTTGATTTTAAACAGTGCAGAAATTTTTTTGTCATGTTAACTTCTTAAATTCACAAGCTGAAATAGGGAGAAAGTGATTTTAAAAAATACTGGAAAGAGAGTAACTTAAGAGAATTTAAATTTTACGATAACTTGTTTCAGCTGCAATGTGGGGAGGTAGGTTAAATGTCTAGCTTGGGAGTTCTTCTGAGGCAACATATTCTTGTTTGATTTACAGAAAGTGAATTTCTTTCTATAGGACTGTTGGAGTCATGTAAATGCCAAAAAGGGAGTTCTGCCAAAGCTGTGGACAGTGCTTCGAGAAGGTGGACGAGGGCTGGCTACTGTTATATACCCCAACCTCTTGCCCTTCATTAGCAAGGTACCTCCTGCTGTTATGAAACCGAAGCTGGAATATTTCAGAACTTTTTTCGGCTCTTTAATTCAAGGGTATGAACCACAAATTTATTTATTTGGAATCAATCTCTTTTACATTTGGAAATAAGAGAACTAATCTTCTTCAAGCTTTTAAAAATGAATTAAAATTATATTTTAAAAATTCTTTTAAATATCTAAAACTAGAGTCAGTCCTTTGTGCCTGTTCCTGTCATCAGAAACCTTTCCTCTTGATTTTATTACATCTTCCTTATATAAAGCATTCTTATCTTTCCTTGTCAAAACTTTATGTTTATTCCGTGACAAATTTTAAAATGAGAAATTAATTTAAAATTAAGAGTGACTCTTAAGAATCAGGCTCTTCTCACCAGTGTATAATTTTTACAGAGGTTATTGGGGATTAGCGTTGTGATAGTGAAATTTCCTGTATGCAGGAACCTTAATTCTTATGATACTGATTTTTAAAGGATTGAAACTGCTATCACTTTTTACCTTTAAAATGCATCAAAACCAACCTTCTGTCAAATCTCATTTAAATAGATACATGTGCATTGTGTACTCAAAAGCATAGAGAAATTATTTTATGAAAGACTAAAGTGCCATTTATTTAAACAAAAATCAGTTCTCAACTGATGTTGGTGTGGCCTGTATCAGAACTCTTGGAGAAGAGAGTTATGTATGGGTTGGTTTTGAAAAGTGTATCAAATGTTATTACAGGTAGTAAAATGATGACCCTGAGATTGGCTCAGTTGGTTAGAGCCAATCTCAGGTTGTGAGTTGGTTAGAGCCACCAAGGTTGTGAGTTTGATACCCATATGGGTCATTCACTCAGGAGCTGGACTTGGTGATCCTCGTGGGTCCCTTCCAACTCAGAATATTCTGTGATTGTAATATTTCTCTGGTAATTTCTGTGATCTAATTTTCGTTAAAAAGCAAATGAATTCCAGTTCTTCAAGCTCAAACTGGTTACTGGGAAACTGGCTTTAGGTGGCTTTGTTTTCTTTTTCTTACCTGTAATGACAGAAAGTGACACTTTCTGAACCTTTGTGGCGTGCGTAGAAAATTGCAAAGGAGTTTTGACAGCTAGCTGAAGCATGTGAAGTATGCTTGACTGGATCTGGTTCCTCTGTTTACATAGATATTTCTTTGTGAATGCTAAGACTGGATGAAGAAGTTATTTTAATATAAGTTATATTAATTGCCTCGGTTTATTAACTCTTTATTTTGAATTTATTTTCATCTGACTCCTGTAAATGATTCTATGATCCTATATTCTCATATTGGTGTTGTCTGGATCAGAACAACATAACAGAGGGTATATTCATGGCATTCATATGGGGTTTCTTGGAAGCACAGTTGCCTGAGTGTGCCCTCCCTCTGATGTTGCCTCTCACAGGTTGTCAAGTGAGCGGGCAATAGCCAGCCCTTCAGAAAGTTCAGCAATTATAACTGCATTTATGGAGTGTCTGTGCTTTGCTGTACTACAGAAAATAGAAGAGGATGACCAAACCCAAATTCATCAAATGCTTATATCTGACCAGGTATTTATTAGAAATATGGAATATTTTTGTGTGCACATTTAATAATTACCATTATTATTAATTAGCGTTATTAATATTTTAATAACATTAAAGAAAAATGTGAAATTTAGGTGAGGATTTACTTCTCTGTTGAAAGTTTCCCTAGATTTAAAAAAAAAATAAAAATCACACAAAATCACCCAGGTTGGAAGAGACCTTCAAGATCATCTAGTTCCACCCTCAACCCAGTACCACCATAACTACCCCATAACCACATCCCCAAGTGCCACGTCCAGACACCTCTTGAACACTTCTAGAGATGGTGACTTCACCACCTTCCTGGGCAATGTATTCCAATGCCTGACCACTCTTTCAGTGAATTTTTTTTTCTTATGTCTGGTCTGACCCTCCTCCGGTGCCATTAAAGACTGTTTCCTCTCATCCTTTTATTTGAGACGTGGCAGAAGAGACTGACCCTCACCTTGCTACAACCTCCTTTTAGGCAGTTGCAGAGAGCCATGAGTAACAAAAATAATGCTACTGAATTTAGTAATTTTTTTTCTTCCTATAAAATCATCCTTTTAACTGTGCAGTTTAAATTATATTTAAGGAAAAAAAAAACATCCTGTATATTTTCAAGCATGAGTGTTCAAGTGTTCGAGCTTGAGTAATTCCGGTATTTTTAGAATTGCTTCTGCAATGTTTTTCAAAATTATATAATTTTGTGGCATGACAAAGAATAAAATGATTTTTTAACTGGATCACTGTTCTTTAATAAATTTTTTTTCTTTATAGCTAATTCCTTTCACCAGTGCTGTTCTTAAGGAGCCCATGTTACAAAGTGGACCATTATTTTATCAAATAGCAGAAATGCTGAGCTCCTGGGAAGCTAAAGCAGAACTCTCCAGTGATGATGGCACAGATGAAGTTTTCCAGAAACTGTTGTCAAATTTTTGGGACCATCTTTTAAAAATGTGTGTACTTCATGTTGATAGGTTGGATGCTGATGAGAAATCATTGTTTGCCATATCTGGTATGCTAGAAATTCTTCAGAATCCAAAGAGTGCTACCAAACCAAACAACAAAAAATTTCTGAAAATCAGATTTACAGACGAGGATGAATCTGAAAGAAACACAGAGAATGGAAAGCTCACAGAAGTGAGAAAAGGTGACTCTGAAATACAGGCTGACTTGCAGCATAGTTCACATCTAAGGAAAGAACCTTTAGAGAACTTAGTCTGCAACCTTGCTGAGCTGAGCATTGTGTATGTCAATGAACAGAAGTCAGAACAGCATTTGAAATTTCTCTCTGCCCTGCTCAACTCTTTTTCCTCAAACAGAGTTTTCCAAGTACTTTTAGAGCAGGGTAATGATGCAAGCCATGCTCAAGCTGAATCCCAAAACGAAATGAAAGCTCATAACAGAAGTCCATCTGTACAATTTCTGTATATGAATTTAATAACTTGGCTGAAAGAAGACTGGAGAAAAGACACCCATTTCCTAGTTGATATTTTATACAGTGTGCTTCGTTGTTGCAACAGTAATGAAGAAAGGAAAATCATTCTTGATGATTTAGCAAAGGTATGACTTGTACATTATGTCATTAATTTTTATCAAAGTCATGACTGTTTTTGTGGGCTGTTGTTCATTAATAATCTTATATTGGCACTGCCATATAGAAAAAATTCTACATGAACTTGAGTAAGATCAATTTAAGGAAGGTAGATTTAGGAAAGCTTGACATGACAGTGAAAGGTTACGACATCTGTTCCTTTCTGTATGGTAAAAATCATTAAAAAAAAGGAACATCAGAATTTCTCTGCTTTTACTTCTCTATACAGTGTGGTTTTATACTAGTCATTGGTGGCCCTTCTTTTAAATGAAGTCCCTTATTGATTTTGTTACTGAAATTTAGCAACTTCCTCTTAATCCCTGCAGAACAGTTAAAATGGTATTAATGCTTCCTATTCAGCAAAAAAATTTGTTAAATATTGTGGAATTTTGATTTTCTTTTCAGATGGATCTGAAATGGATTATTTTCCTCCAGATAATTCAAAAGGTACCCCTTAATATTTAAATTTTTTTGTTCTGGTTATGCGTAATTTTGAATATTTCTCTGGTGTTAGCTTTGAGACTCACATGTGTTTGAATGACTTTTTTTTTTTTTACCTACGTAGTGATAATTTCCATAGTTTGAAAATCTTACATTAATAGTTTCAGAGTAGTGTTTGTTTTAAATGCATTTAAATCTGGAGACAGTTTTAAAAATGAAATGATGATACCAAAACAAAAGAATCTTTGTCCCTTCTATTTTTGGTCAGTTTGCTTTTTGAGCCAGAGGGATTCCTGATTTGTTGGTTATCCGTGCTAAGCTAGAGAGAATGGAGCTGGGGATTAGACCAATAACTTAAATGATCATTTATATCATCACCCTTACATGATGCTTACAAGGAAAAGGTAGTATTCCATTTTTTCCCACCCAATATTGAGACTGACATTTAAGTAATTGCATGGGATGCAATAGGAAGTGTATGACAAACGTTTGGACAAAAGCTCATTGCACTGGGTTTATAATCCAGTGCGTAGACCACAGTATCTTCCCTCACACATGCTGTGTATTTTAGGAATACTCAATTTTTATGATTTTGTAACTTAGAGTGCCTCATCACCAAAATAATGTTTTTGATTTGTGACCCTCCATTTCTTTTTAAAGAAATTCAGGTGCTGTAAATGGATTTTATGTTGTAAGTAGGTTTTATTTCAGCCAACTTGGTCATCCGAAAGTTATTTTTGTAATTCCAATGTAGGAATTCCCTGGGCTCTATAGTTGAAGAAAAGGAAAACGAAGCATTTTCAGAAGGTGACTTTTTTTGCTCTACAGCAGAGGTCTGACCTAGCCATAAGCTGCTGTCTCTGACCAAAAAGAAAGCTGGGGGGATTCTTGCAGATGTAAACACCTAAAGACTTATTGTTTGTGACAGATGATATGATTCCCACTCTATGTGTGGGTTTGACATAGTAATCTTATGCTTACTTAGTAATAATAGTTAAAAACAAGTTGCCCAGAAAGCTGTAGATGCCACATCCCTGGAAGTGTTCAAGGCCTGGTTGGATGGGGCATGGAGCAATTTGGTCTAGAGGAAGGTATCCCTGTCTGTGGCAGGGGGGGTTGGTGCTTGAATGGGAACATGGAAGATGATCTTTAAGGTCTGTTCATATCCAAACTATTCTATGATTCTATACTCTTAAAAGATTCTTAGAATTATTTTCTCATGATTCAGGCATGCTCAAGCACAACAAAACTTTCCTTAGTCTCTGACTGGCTGAAGGGAGATACACTTGGAGAAAGACTGGTGATGCTGGCAGATGATCTGTGCCACCTGTGTTTAAAACCTAGCACAGCCTCATCAGACTCAGCCTCTTCAGAAAGGTGGACCCTCCTGAGCTTGGTGTTGTCACAGCACATTAAAAGCGGTAAGCATGTATAATCCTTGGAGTTTGTGAACTGTAAATACTCCAGTCCTTGGAGTTTGTGAAGTGTAAAGCGTAAGTGAAGTGCACTTATGCTTTGCATAAGGTTGAAAAGAATTTGAAATCTTCCAGAATACTTAATTTGGAACATTTAGGCTTTCTTCTTGTGGTTCATTTGTTGGTTTGAAGTTTTTGTTTATTTCTTTTGGGCTTTCTTTTTTTATACCTGAGCCGTTTTTTTTGGTCCATATTGCAGTGAAAGTGATTAGGGATGAGGTTGTGCTAAAGAGCTATAAAATCATAATTTGTATGGAAAATGCAAATAGGAAGAAACTTTTCATTGTTTTTTTCAGTGGAAGAACCTGAGTTGCTAACAGATGTTTAGATAACAGTCTTGAGGGAAAAGTACACTTCTTCATCCAGTTTAGATTTAAATAATGGAACTCATTGCCACAGGGTGTTGTGGAGTTTGAGGATAAATGGGATTGGCCTGCTTGGATCCCACAAAAAAGGAGCCAAGCATGTTCACAGAAGACTGGTCTGCTTGGGGTAATTATATGCAGTCCAAGTGTAATCTTGGGCTCACAGTGGATTGTCAGAAGCTAGGAAGGCATAAAAGGGGGAGAGATCAGTCTGCACTTGCTCTATTTTATATACCTTTTTTGAAGTTGCTTCAGCTGGTTTAGAGAGGAGATAATTGGCAGTGTGAAACTTTGGCTGGGTGATCCTTGATGTCTGTGAAATAATAGAGTTTATGTATACATTAGAGTGAAACTGCTTTGCACTTTATTTTGGTTTCAGAATCAGTAAATATTAACCAAATTGGTCCATATTAATATGACGTCTTTGAATGACCATGTTTATCAAGAAATCAAAGCATGCTGTTGTTTTCCTCTCCCCCATAGAATCATTGATTGATGAAACTTTTATTGAAAGGATTATTGATAAACTTCAAGCAGCTCTATCTAAAGCAAAGGATCTTTCTGAAGCTGGAAATACTGAGCCATCAGTATCTTTCATCTGTGATGTAGCCTCAAGCTTTTTCAGCTCCGTTAAAGGGTGTTTACTGATGCCATCCTCAGAAGACCTGCTGCTTACCATCTTCCAGCTGTGTGCTCAGAGGCAGGATGCAACACACTTAACAGGTAATCTAGAAAAAGAACTTCAACCAAACTTTCTCACAGGTGATGATTACATCTGAATTCTTCTTTTTCATGAAATGGATTCAAGTATGTAATAGAATACTGAATTCACATACATTGAGCACTTGCAGCTGTAACTGATACAAAAATTTATGCTTTAATTTACAGTGCCCATAGTTATTACTAAACATCAAGTCCTGTACATCTCTTTACAAGGATTTTTAAACTTCTTTGATGTTAACTTTGAGGCTGTGATATTGCACACTTTTCGGAGTGTTATGTAAGTTATTTAAAGTCTATGAAATACAAGAAACGAGCATTTTTTTGGTTAATTTTGTAGTGTAGGGATTCTATGAAAAAATGTGTGCAATCACTTCAGACACATGTATTTATTCTGAAACCATTTGTATTGGTTAAGTTGCCCAGACAAACTGTGATCCATACCTCTTTAGCAGCATCTCATGTTCAGACTGAGATCCTCGTTTATATTCTTTGAAGGCAGAATTTGAGAGTGATAAATTTGTACATGCATTTACTGACATCAACACAAATAAATACAATGTTTCAGAGTTGCCATAGAAATGAAGTAGGACAATACTAGCTTGAGAACCACTGCTGCTTTGCAAATGACTATTGATGCCATGAATGTTCAGTATTTCAGTAAAAAGATCTGTGGTTTTGAAGACCATGTGGATATATTGTAGTAGACAACAGGAACATCACTTATTCTCCATTAAATTAAATTTTACCTGTGTGTCATAGTTAATTTAAAATTGCTCTGCAACAAGAGAGCTGTATATTTGCCCTTGATAGTTTTTCCATGTAACCACATAGAAAAGAGAATTGTTTTCCTACTCAAGGACCTTTAGACATGCTGTCCATGTAGATTGTAATTAGAGTTTACCTGTTTGTGGTGGTCTTCTTGTCCATTTGTTATTGTTTTGTTTTGTTTTTTCTTTTCCCTACAATAGATTTACTTGTATGCAAATTAAAACACACTTGGATGTCTGGTGTAAATTCACTTGTGCATCAGCTTCAGAGCACACACAAACAGAGTACCTTTTTGATTAAAGCTGCACTGTGGGTCAAGAATCAAATTCAGTCTTCCTCTTTGGACGTGAAAAGGTAATTGGGATGCACATGTCTGCTTCATAATATGTTGTTCTCTAAAACAAAGATCAGTGCTATACTATTTTTTATTTAATGGTCATTTGTATTGCTGAGAGACTTTTCAGCCTGTTGAAGGCAGTGGGCAGAGCAGAAAACCACCACTGGTACAACAGGTATAGAGCATTGGTACGACATATAGAGCACTGTATCAATGTAGAATACACAGCTTGCTTCTACTGGAGAGTGCCAAACTTGTTTGCAGTGTTTTCTCCTTTTCTCAGTCTTCAGATGTTGATCTCTGCAGTTAGTGATTTGTTGTCGAAGCTCATGGAAGCTGATGGACAATCTGGATACCTTGTGAGAGCTTTTGTTGAGCATGTCACACCGAACAAAACGGAGTGGGGGAAGTTGCATGAGTCTCTATCTACTGAGGTATGGAAATGATAATGGGCTTGCCTGGGGTAGTCAATCTTTCCTCAAGCCTCTCTCCCTTAGGGTGGTAAGCATTCTTTCTTCTGACATGGCACTGCAGTTATGAATACCCATATGCCTGTGCAGAGGTTCTTTTCAGCCTCTATCCGTGAAAAAGACAAAATCTCTATGTTTATGGATGCATCCAGTACGACTGGAGAAAATCAGAATTACCCTTTTCTGCATGAAACACCAGCAACTTGCTTAAAAATTCTGGAATTTTTTCTGACAAAATGTACATTGTGAAGATGTACTTTAATTCTTCAAAAAGATTAATTTTGTGAAAGACGCCAATATCTGCAGAGGAACATGGTGTGCTGACTATCAACAAAATGCTGACATACGTATAGTAGAGAGTGGAGAAGGACATAAATTTCCTATCCAACCACCCAGCTTCAGTAAACCTAGTATTTCTTGTAAAATATGTAGAATTCTAAAGAAACATACTTGTTTCTGAAGCAGCAAGGCAGTTTCAAATTACTGCTGTGCATTTAGGTTTTTTAATACACTGGAGTGGGTCATTGTGCTTTTATTGTCAATTTATATGTTTCGTGGTTATTTTTTAGTAATTCTGAATTTTCAAGATTAAAGAGATCATAGCTCTTCTGTGCGTTATTAAAATACCAGTTATTTGTTCACACTCTTTTTGTGCACATATTACAGTGGATACACAAACCTCTTTTGGAAGGAAGGCTTAGTATGAATTGTGAACCTCTGGGATCAAGTGTCAAGCTGTGTGACACAACTAAACTTCCAGGCCATTTGTGTACTTCAGCCTTATTAAGTAAAATGGTTCTTCTTGTACTGGAAAATGCTGCAGTCCATGGAAATGATGATGCTGAAAGAAAGAAAATTGACAATATAAGTAAGTTACAATGGTAAAACTTAAAGGAATTTTATCTTATAGTAGTTGTAACCTGGATTGATAATTAGAAATGCATAGTTAAAGACTGGCTTACAGGTATGAGAAATTATTCTTTTACCTTTTGTTATTGTTTTGTTTCGTTTTGGTTTTTTTTCTTTTCTTCAAGTCTCCTTTAAAAGTGTAAGTATGTACAAGTGTAGTGCTTATATCCTTGGGACCTTTTTTGATTATATAAATCCTACCTCAACAGAACTTTCAACTGGGAGATGTTTGAATTTTTAATGAGCTTCAGATTTGTTCATTGCCAAAACACACAGTGCATTGGCATGAGTGGTCAATAGGAACTGTATCCCTGCCCTGAGGGTTTAGCCATAATGTAAATATAGCTTGAGGCAGCAATTTTTCTTAATTCCACCAGGTGGAATGTAGTTTCTTTTTATTTTTAGGGTGCTCAAATGAAATTAATAATTCTATCTCCAAAAATCTCACCATGATGAGAAGTGTAATTGCTTAGTGTGGGTCTTTGTAAGCTAATGAAGGAACCACATGCTAGCTCTTGTCATCAAATTTGTTTGGTTTTCTTCTGGACTTAGATCTTGATTGTCTTGTCTGCAAGAAGTATATGTCAAAAAAAAAGAGGAGAATAGAGAGGAGTTGTAATTTGTGTCATGCTTGCTTGATTTGCTTTAAAATTTCTTGAATATCTAGAACAGATTACTGTAGCTTTTTGTTTTCTTATATTTTATGGTACAATGGTAAATATCCAGTTCATGCTCTGAAGCACCTGAGATTGTGTGTAAATATAATACTTTTAATGCATTAAAAACATTAAAAAAACCCAACAAAAACTTGACTTGAAACATCTTACTTATGCACTGAATATATTCAGCAGTCATTTGTAAACAACAGTTTCTGTTGTTTAATTAGTTGCAGAACTGTTGTACTCCTTACAATGGATTGAAGAACTAGAGAATCCTCCTTCCCTGCTTCTAGAATATCTTCATATGTTAGAAGAGATGCACATCACATACAAGAAGTTCAGTACACTAAGTAATACAGCTAGTCTTCAGCAAACTATATTTGATAGGTGAGTACAAGTAAAACAACTCTTAACTCTGTCTTCACATTTTGTGTTGTATAGAGTATTAAGTGCCACTATATTTCCTTCTCTGTGTTGATTCAAACTTCATCCAAATGCTTTTGTGGTGCTCTGAGCATCTGTATATATTAACCAGGGTCTTTCCTCTTCTTTGAAGATCAGAGGAACATGGAAGACTGTGGTCCTTAACCGTGGCTAAAGTGATCCGTGCGGAAAACACTGTATCCTGGGAGAGGAGAGAACTTTTTAAGACAACAGAAGGGTATCTTAATACTGCTGCCTCTAAACTTCCAGTTTGTTGTGAATGTTGATAATGTTAAATAATCCTTATTCTGACAAATGACTACTGAGGACTGAAAATTAAGTGCTATATGTGTGTGTATGTAAGCGATATATGTATGAAAGTGAGACTGCGTTTTAGTGTGTGGGATTAGTTACATCAGAGGATATTAGATCATTATGAAACAATTTACATTTTGTTTCCTAGTTAAATTTTTGGGTTCATTTCATTCTTGATGTTTTGCTTGTATTAATAGGTTTCTGCCATTAACAGAGGGCAGATTGCATACACTTCAGTGTTTATCACCTTTCTTAATTGAGGAGGAAAAGAGAGAACTTGTCTTCCACTGTGTGGCTAAACTTATGACATGCACACAGACAGATCTTTCCAGCACTGATGGTGAGTATGTTCTTACCTCCCTCAGTCTAGTTCATTAGAATTTAAGAATGCTATTTTGTAATAATGTTTGCTTTTAGGTAAAATGTTTTAACTATAATAATATTATTTTTTCTAGAAAGAAATGTTTTCTCTATTGCATATTTCTTTCAGACAGTTTTCTGCCTTATTCAGAAAGTATAAGCTATACTGCCTGGTACAAAATTGGAACTAAAGGACTTAGGCTGAATTGTTAAGAACATTTTGATATTGTTGTACTTCTTGTGTGGTCTATCTTATTTAAACACATCTGTAAATATCAAAGTTTTCAGTTAACCATTTAGGCTTTACACAGTATGCAAAAATATTACTATTGTCAACTGGCAGTGTCATCATTGTCTTCAGATGCTTTGGCAAGAACTCTTTCACGGTTTACATACAATTTTTGAGTAGTTCCTCCAGTGCATGGCATACAGTGTGCTCAGTCAGAACTGCTCTACATACACCTACAGCAACTGTGGAAAAATTACTTAAGAGGTGATTGAGATGTGTTATACTATTGCTTTGAATATACCCACTTAATTTGGGTCTATATTTTCACAAACTTGTTGCTTTTCAAGAAAATTATTTAGAAATGGTCACACACATTTATGAATTAGATGTAATTTAAAAGTACCTTCTATTTTTTTCCAGTACTGCTTTTGTATGTTTTTGCACATACTGTTATTGATCAGTCTGTATAAAAACTGAAATATAGGTTTTGTCTTTTTTAACAGGACTGTGCTTCCTTAAATTGAAAAAACACCCTATCTTTGGTGACTTTAAACTGTGGATATCTGTCCCTTGGCAGTGTCCTCAGGATTTCAGATGAATTCTTCAAATGGATGTCCTTAAAGTGTGAAAATTAGCAGTGTTAGTGTCATGCAGCAATTGAGAAGAATCTTAAAAATCCTTCTGCTATGGTAGTTTCCCTAACTCTTACTCTTTGAACTTAGTTAAGCCTTCTTGGCTTTCTAAGTGAACCAGTGAGGCAAAAATTGTGTCTGTGAAACTCTAAACAGAATAAAATGGGAAAAAGAATCCTCACTCCTCATGTGCTGTGGAGTGCTCCTATTTGTAATCTGCATTTCCTTTCTGCTGCTTCACAGTTTTCTAGGGATTCTTGAGCAGACTACATATATCCAAATTCACATTAAATGAGACATAGGCTGTTGGCTTACCATTCCAATGGTCTTTTTCTTTTCAGGTCAGAAAAGTGCTGGTAAAGTTGTTGTAAATTGTTGCTCAGCTGTTTAAGTGAAGCAGGGGTTTGTTTGGTTGGTTTTGCTATGCCTTTGTGGTACGTTGCCTTATTTCTTTGTCATCGTGCTTGTAGGAAATGTTCATTTTCTCCAAGAAATCGAGATAAATGCAGTTTTTCTCAAGAATGGAAAACAGTACTATTGCAACGGTAGTACTTCACTCTGAAAGTAAAAATTAACATTCCAACGAGAACTCTAATTAACATGCCATTAATACTAGAATTCACAACTCGCAGTTGCATTTCCATCACTATCTGTCCAAATTATTGCTTAGCATACTACATTTTCAGTAGCGCAAAGAGATTTCAATCTTAGCAGGCATTTTTCCTTTTCTTTAATTGTATAAACTATCAATTAATCTTCTAGAAGGTGGTTTGTGTTTTTTTTTTTTTAAAGTTTGCGTTGGATATAGTATTTCTGATTTAACAATGGCATCTGTGGATTACATGTTCAAAGAAGAAAGCTTAGGTATTATCCAAACTGTCTTATGATGTTAATGTTACATTCAAATAAAATGATTCAGTCATTTGACACACATTTTAACATTTGTTTTGTCTTGATAATTAAGACTATTGAATATGTATTTTTACTGTATTATAGGAGCATTTGGGTGTCTTTCCATTTTGAACTCCTGCCTGAATGATAGAAGTGTTGATTGTGATCATCTACTACCTGGAATACTGAAAATAATAATATCTTGGAAAAATGATAATGAGGACAGCTTTCTCTTTAGCTGGTGGGTGCAACTTGGAGATAATTTCACTTTTTTTCATTTCTAAGACAAGCATTTAAAAATACGGACTGGTTATTAACTCAGACAAAATCAATCTGTACATTACAACTGCCATCCACTGTTCTATTATTACATATTTAAACTTTTGTAGAACTGTATTCCGTGGTTTCATATACCTGTCTTTAGGTATTTAATAACTCATACCGCAGAAAATTACCTGGATGGTTGAAGACTGGGAAACTAAGGAGTTATTTAAATGCACCTAGGTGTCAACTGTTTTCAAAAGCATTTAGAACTGACCAACTTTTGTAAGTGTTGCTGGATATCAGTTCCAAATTCTGATTGCTTATTTCAGTAGCAGGAAGAAAACCTGGATACCAGAATTAGATGTCTGTCTTTTAAAATTCTGGACCCAAAAATGTAACTTGAAAAGCTTCCAGCAAGGAGTGAAGATATACTAACAGTCATTTGTCTTGATTATAGTGAGAAAAATCCTGGCAACGAAGTCTCAGAATAATCATAGAACCATAGAGTGACCTGGGTTGGAGGGCACTGTAAGGTTCATCTCATTCCACGCCGCTGCCAGAGGCAGGGACACCTTCCACTGCACCAGGTTGCTCAGAGCTCCATCCAAACTGGCTTTGAACACTTCCAGGGATGGGGCAGCCACAGCCTCTCTGGGCAACCTGTGCCAAGGCCTCACCAATATCTAATCTAAACTTATAATGTACAATATTTGGACACTTATAATGTACAGTATTTGAAGACTTGAGGGCTTATATTTTTTTCTTAAATTATTAACTTAAAATTATTATTTTCCTTGCATTGATTTAATTGAAATTGCTAAATTTCATAGGGTATGTAAATATATTACTCGAGCAAATGTGTAAATTTTAGAAATTTATGAATCTGTAATTTAGGAATCTTATGTAGTCTTGGCAGCTAATGTAGCACTCGGCCTTTGATAGACAGAGTATCAAAAGCACATAGGGCAGAGTGTGGTGGTGCCAGACTAATTTGTCATGAGAGGAGTGAAGGCAAGGATATAGATACTCATGTCTGCAACATGAAGGTACATAAGCTTTGGCTGTATTTTTATTACAGCAATCTGAAAGAAACAAGTGCTCAGTTGCTTGGTTTGAACATTGAGATGATCCGTTACTTCCCCTTGTTGCTGAAGTATTCCACAGCTCCTTTGGCCGATAGTGAGTGGGACTTCATCATGTGCTCCATGCTGGCTTGGTTAGAGGTAATGTGAAAGCATCCTCACTTTTGATGTGGTTACCTTTTTTGATCATTCCCTGCATATGGCAGGGACACTTGTAATCTCAGTTTGACAAAAATTTGACACAACATTAAAAAGAATTGCATAAAGTCCTGTGTGTGTTGGGCTTTGACAAAGGTCACGTGTAGTTTAAAAGCTATACTCTCCTGTTTCTTATTGTATATTGAGATGAAATCAGCTCACTCTTCAAGTAATATGATATTTAATAATGTCATTGGTAATTGGAGAATAATTTTGAAATATGTCTGTTCATAGAATCATAGAATCGATCTTGTTGGAAGCGACCTCCGAGATCATCAAGTCCAACCCTTGATCCAACACCGCCGTGGTTACTAGACCATGGCACTAAGTACCACATCCAGTCTCATCTTAAAAACCTCCAGGACTGGTGAATCCACCACCTCCCTGGGCAGCCCATTCCAATGTCTGATTACTCTCTCTGTAAAAAATTTTTTCCTAATATCCAACCTAAACCTCCCCTGGCACAGCTTAAGAACGTGCCCTCTTGTCTTACTGATAGCTGCCTGGGAGAAGAGACCAACCCCCACCTGGCTACAACAGATGTTGTAGATCTCTGTGTTGAAAAATAATATTCCTTTAAGACCAAAGTCTAACATGATACCTAAAAATTAACTGAATAAAAAGCAGTATCTGCATTTCAATGTCTAACTAATCACATGAAATATCAAAATTATATTCTAGCGCTGCTAGGAAACAGGTCAGTAGTCAGCTGACTACTTCCTGATTAAGCAAATAAAGATACAGAATCTCTCACTCTGTTATTATGCACTTGGAAGGGCAGGCTGGAAACTTCCATGTGACCATTCTTGCATGCACCTCAAAACTATCTTTTTTTTTTTTTTTTTTTTTTAAATTTAAAAAACAAATAATAAACTTGTGTGAAAATCTTGTGTAGACTAAGTGCTTGGGAATATTTTTAATTTATAATGATATTCCTTTTTGGGGGAACTAGTAAGAAGAAAAATAAAAAAAGGAAGAAATGTTGGGGGAAAAGAAATATTCTTCTAACAGCCACTTCAATAATTTCTAGTTTTTAATAGCATGTTGTCAATTCCCTTTTGCAATTTGGAAATGCAAATATGATATTGGTAAAGCTTTTATGTTTGAGAGAGAATAGTGAAAGCACTTCACAGATCAGTTTTGTCTCATTGGACTGCACAAGTGCTCCAGGTGTGGTACATTCCTGTTTGAATTTTCTTTCTGTCATTATAAAGAAAGTTATATAATGGAAGCAATACAGGATTCTAAATGTTGGTGAGACTTTGAAATTAATTTCAGGAAGTCTTACTAGAGTATAATTTACATTTTTAAACACAGCCCGCCACCCCAAATAATTTTCAAATGGTCCTTGCAATTGAATCTTCTTTGAACTTATGCTTTCTGGTGTAAACAGGGAATGTGAAACATACTTTGAAGCAAATTTATGGTTAAGAAATCTTTCTCTTTGTCTATTTCCTCCTAGACAACAAGTGAAAACCGTTCCCTTTATCATGTCCCGCTTGTGCAGATTTTTGCTTGTGTTAGTTGTGACTTGGCATCTGCCCTTAGTGCTTACTTTGAAGCTGCAGCTCCTGAAACTACTGAAAATCTCCCTAAGAACTTGATCGGTGAATGGAAAGAATTCTTTTCTGAGGGAATTCACAATTTGCTGTTACCTTTGTTGGTGAAAATCACAGGCAAGTATATGGCAAAGAGGGCAATAGCCAGGCTGTTCTGAAATAGAACTGAATGGGCTGTATTTTTGAATTTATAGGAATATTATGTCAGTATAGTTTATAAAAACTCAGATTTTGTAACACTTACATGCTAATTAGGAAAGTAATTGCACTTAACCTACTGATTCTTAAGATTAGATGGGTGCTGCTAAGTGCAGTCTTGAGTTATTTCTAGCAATGCTTGTTTGTGATATCATCCACACGTTTTGCATCACGGCTTGTCTTGTTTTATATAGGAGAAACCAAAAATGCATCAGAAGGTTCTTTTCAGAACTCTGTGTTAATATCTTTGGGTGAAGCTCTAACTTACATATCGAAGGACCAGTTGTTAAACCATAAACTGCCACCGAAGTTTGTTGCAGGCCAGAAAACAAATCTTCCAGATAAACTCCAGACTCTACTGAATACATTGTCTCCATTGTTGCTTTTTCGGGCTCGACCTGTACAGATTTCTGTCTACCACATGCTGTATAAGTAAGAATCAACAAATTTTGCACTTCCTTCACCTCTCACCCCACCCCCACCCTTTATTTTTTAAATGTGCTGTAGAACGTGCACTTATAGCTGCATGTTTAGAAAACCATGTTCCATTATGGGTGAAAATTCTTAACTGGGCAATTTGTGTTCTATATTGGAGAACATTATATAAAGCTATGAATGCTAAATTTAATTGTAAAAGCAGACTTAGTATATACTGAGAAATTTTACTGCAGTACATGAAGATACAATTTTATTTTCTGTATCATAGTTAGATAGATATCAGTATCATAATTGTAAAGCTATTTTTACCCCAAAATGAATCCTAAAATGTAAACTGAAGTGTTCCAGGTTTGATTGGCATCTGACATGATCATTAAATAGTATGACCTTTTTATTTTCACTAATTTAGATAAGGCATTAAGAAAGTGAATAAAAATAGGTAGTATTCCTGTGAACTTCTTGGATATCTCTAATACCTAAAGAGAGAATACAGAATTTGAAAAATAGGATGTGCAATAGCTTTATTCTGATAGAGAATTTTATTTTATTTTAGTATGTCTCAGGAAATGTAAGAGATCTGGAAAAGAACTGAGCAAGGCTACGTGCTCATTCATGTCACTCATGAACCCTCTTTGCAATGGTGACATGTCTCTTAAAGATTCTGTGTTGTTGTTAAGGAATAATTGCCATTATTTTATTGCCTGTCAGTAATATTGACATTGATAAGCAAAGAACTACACATCACATATATTAAAATAATTTATTAAAAATTATTTAAAAATTAAATATGACTTTCTTTCCATATTTCTATAGATTAATGCCTGAATTGCCTAAATTTGATGACGAAAATCTCAAATCCTATGGTGATGAAGAGGAGGAACTGGCATTGTGGGTATTTTTTCCTTCATTTTTTTAAGACTGTTTTCCATATTTTTAAAATGAGTTCTAAGATTGAAATATGCAGTAGAGTAGTCATCTGTCAGAAGAAGTTAAAAGAAAAAAATTACATGGCTATGACAATAGGGTCATAAATATTTAAAATATTCAATATAATTGGTTAAATCCGCCTTTGCTAAAACTGGAGACAGTATTTACAATTTTTTTTAGGTAAAGTTACTAGACTAAGTGCCATATATATGCTTTATATTGGAAAATCTTGACAGATTTTTAGTTTTATTCAGAATGTGTCCATCTGCACAGGTAACTTCAGGTATTTGAAACTCCAAAATCAACCTGAGTGTTTTATACAGCTTGAATCCAATAAAATCTATGGTTTGAAGTGGGTAACTGCTTAAAATTCATTTTATAACCTCAGCCCAATGATTAATACCTTTCCTAACTGTGGAGCTGCAGAGGGCTTTTTAATCCAAACCCAACAGTGATCAGGAGATCCATTGTTCAGTTGCTCCTTTGTTGGTGTGATAAGAAAGCAAGCAAAGCAGCTATCCATGATGTAGGTTAAACCATCTCAGCCATAGACCCCTTCCAGATTAAGCAATCAGCATTCAGTTTAAATTTGTCTTGTAAGAAGGTAAAAACACCAGTTAAAAAATCCCTATATAGTACTGGTGTGTGAATTTGAAAGTAAATTTTCCTGTAATAAAAGGCCCCTTTTTATGTTCTGCATGCGTGGCTTTACTACCGTGACTTTCTAGGAAGGCTATGAACATAAACTGAGTTAATGCTGTGCTCAAGATTGGAGTTTACTATTCCAGATAACATTTTTTCCGTAGATCACCTCCAGCAGCTCTTATGTCTATCCTGGCCACTCAAGAACTCTTGCTAGAAAACATCCTGGAATGCATTCCAGTTGGAGAATTTGCAGTTATTCAGCCCCTGAGTGATGAGTTCTGCCTTGTTCTGGGATATCTTCTCACTTGGAAGTTAATATTAGCTTTCTTCAAAGCAGCTTCTTCTCAGGTATGTGTTCAGTCTTTTCATTTTAACTGAATTTCTTAAACTGCTTATTTAGTTTGAATCTTGAAGTTTCATCCAGCCTTGTTATTAATTATGTAATCCTACCTCTTGTTTTTGTGGAATTAGTGAAATTCTGAAAGCATCCCTGGACTTAGATTTCTGCACTGCTATAGTTGAGGGTGGTAATATTAAGAGGAATGAAGAATTAAGATTCATTAATAGATGATTCTTTCTTGCATTTTCAAACAAGCTTGCTACATATTACGATCTTCTAATCATTGAAAATGGTGCAGAGAACTAAATTGCTCTTCTGAACACTTGTTCTGAATCACAGTCTTGCTTTTCCTCCCTGCAAGGACATATTTGTATCATTTACAGAATAAGCTATATTTATAAAGTCTGTTTTGTATTTTTTGTGTATTTTTTTTAATGGTACCAGCTGCGAGTTCTCTACTCACAATACCTTAGAAGAACTAAAAGCTTGAACAAACTGCTTTATCACTTGTTCAGGCTTATGCCTGAAAACCCTGTCTTTTCTGGGCCAACTTCAGAAGTTTCAAATAAGGACACAAAAACCTTCTTTACTGAAGAGCTTCATTTAGATGTTAAAGGTTAGTAAACATTGTATTTGTGTATTTGAGAGAGCTGTTATATTGCAGAAGTTTAAATATGTTTTTTTTTGCTTAAAAATACTTATTTAGAAAATCTTACCTATAAAACAGATACAGAGAGACAAATATATACATATGTTTAGAAATCTTTGGCTAACACTCCCCATTTGAAACTTTATCAAAGTTGAAATGTTTATCAGAAAAATCAAGGACAACAAAAAACAGGAATAATATGTTGCTACTATTGAAATCTGAATGTAAAGATTCCAAAACACTAAAAATATGTGATCTATTCTGGGACCATTGCTTCTAGATATATCTTTTTAATGCTAAATAGAATTTCCATTTTTTCTTGTGTTTCAATATATAAATATAAAAAGTATTTTAATATATATATTTTAAATGTTTGAGACGCTGTGTTGTTTTTTTCATGCTGTTCTGAAGACCCAGTTAATCGATGATGATGAAAGAAGATACACTGCTTTTTTTTAGCTGAGAAACATGAAAAAGAGTATTAGTTTTTAAAGTTACTTCATTGAAGTTTTTATTTTATGTACCTGTGTAGGTATAAGCAAAGAAACTGAGTTTCATTTCTTAATTTTTTGCTTGAACATCACTATGTTGCAGAACAATTTATCTGGATGACAGTTAAGAAAGAATTACTACCATGACAACCCAAGGGAAAGATTTCCCATATCTCATTATAGAGTCAGTAAGGTGGAAAAGACCTCCAAGATCATCCAGGTTCAACCTTTGATCAAACACTACCGTGCCCACTAAACCGTATCACTAAGTGCCCTGTCTACTTGTTTTTTGAACATGTCCAGGGATGGTGACTCCACCACTTCCCTGGGCTGCCTGTTCCAATGCTCAAACACTCTTTCAGTGAAGAATTTTTTCCCAATATCAATCTGAACCTCTGTTGGTGCACCTTGAAGCCATTTCTATGCATGAACACTGCAAACCTCAGCTGTTCTCCAAACATCTTATTGCTTGTTTGCTCTAAAGTGAAGCATTTTGTAATTTCTATAATATAAAATTATTCTTGACTTATGATAGTCCACATGTGAATTTTGAGGTGTGAAGTATTAAGCTAAGAAACAAAGAAACCAGCCTAGGGAGGAACAGCTGAGTCAAACAAGCCCTCAGAGCAGCAATAACAGGAACATGTATTTGAAATTCTGGTTACCACAGTTCTTTTGAGATCACAATTTTTGTGTGTGGTGTGGAGGCACCAACATCCATGACTAATGTGTTAAGAGTATTTCAGCATCCTTTCTTTCCCTCCCCGGGACAGGAGTGCTGTCATCCCAGATTCCGCACTTGGCGTGCTCTGTGTACCACATAACGCTGAAAGACTTGCCGGCCATGGTCAGGCTTTGGTGGAATAGCTGTGAAAAACGTGTCTTCAATGTTGTAGATAAATTTACAAGCAAATACGTCAGCAGCGTCCTTTCTTCCCAGGAAATATCTTCTGTTCAGACCAGCACACAGTTGTTTAATGGCATGACGGTTAGTAAGGCTTTTTGTCCTTTCTTTTTATTCAGTTTTTCGCAAACATTTTAAGAAATCTGACTTCTCATAACCAGACTGTGGTTCTGAGTGTTTTATATGATTGCATTTTTGTTGTTCTAAATGACTGATGAAACACAGTTTTGCTTGGTATCAATATATTAAATTGATGTTTATTAATATTCTGTTTAGAAAAAAAATGAAAGAATGGGTTTCAGGATGTTGGAGAAGTTGAGGAAGTGGAAGATACTGTTATCAATATACTACTTTTTGCTTTTTAAAAAAAATGTAACCCATCAGTAGATTGGAAAATGGCTGGTAATTTCCTTTTAGTTTGCCAAGATATAAGTAGATTTTTGTTTTCTTTGAGAAAAATGTTTACCCGGTCTAAGAAAATTATTTAATACGTACAGTAATGTATTTATAGTTGACATGATCTGTGTATAAAGACTAGAGATGGTGAGTATCTCTCTGGAGTTTTTTTAATATATGCATTTTTTTCATAGGTAAAAGCTCGGTCTGCAGCACGAGAAGTCATTGCTACCTATTCAGTTGATGATATCTTTATTGAACTAATAATACAGCTTCCACCAAATTACCCACTGGGATCCATAACAGTTGAGAGTGGAAAGAGGGTTGGTGTGGCTGTTCAGCAGTGGCGTAATTGGATGCTACAGTTAAGCACATACCTTACACATCAGGTGGGTTTAAAGAAAGCTCCTAGGTTTGAAAACTTAGAAGTCCATCTAATAGAAAAATATTCCTGGTAATGCAATATTGTATAGATCTGGATAATGGATCTCATCAGTACATTGCAAAGGACTTCATAAGATTCGGGTCACTCTTACCATCTGCTTTCTTCCAGATGCTTAAACAGAGGTAAAATGATCAGCCTGCTAAGTCCTGTTAAATCCATAGCCTGAGTTGAAAGTTCACTCTTAAGACACGGGCCAGTGTTTGCCCCATGTGGCAATGCCATCTCAACTATAATTTGAAAAAAAACAAACCAAAAAAATCAAACCCGAAAACCCAGTCCATGAAATTCTCTAAAAGACTGGTGGTTGCTGAAGTTGCATCGTCTGTGGTTTAACAAAGCAGTTATTGAAATTTAAAATCCCCTTTTAAGTGCTCCTAAATGCATTCTACCTCTGTGATGAATACTTGCATTTCTGTAGATTAGACTATCATAAATTACTCACTGCGTGTATTGCACGTAATTTCAGATTATAAAGCCTTCAGGCTTTGTTTTCTTCATGTGTTGATGAATAATAGTAGGAATAGTCCGAAGGAATTCTACAGTATTAACAGCTCTTTTTCCTCTGTTAGAATGGAAGTATTATGGAAGGCTTATCTTTGTGGAAAAATAACGTTGATAAACGTTTTGAAGGCGTTGAAGATTGCATGATCTGCTTTTCAGTCATTCATGGTTCCAACTATTCTCTTCCCAAAAAAGCTTGCAGAACATGCAAGAAAAAGTTTCATTCAGCTTGCTTGGTAAGTACCTTGACTAAATCTTTTTAAATAGGCAAAATATCCTGGAATCATAAAGCAGTTTGGGTTGGAAGGGACCTTATAGCTCATCTAGTTCCAACCCCCTGCCATAGGCAGGGACACTTCCACTAGACCAGGTTGCCCAGAACCCCATCCAACCTGGCTATCCATATAATTTAAACCATCTAGTTTAAACTTCTAGTGTAGTACCACCAATTTTCCACTTTGTCATTGGAGTATCTGGGATTAACTGAACTCATAAATTATCTCTGGATTTTGTACTAAGACATAAGGACATGTAATGAGAGGGGCTCCTACAGAGTGTGTGTGTAATATGTGTATATACAAATACATATGTATATATACACATGCATATATATATGGAAAGGGGTTTTTTTAAAGTATAGTTAATGTTTTGGTAGTTATATTCATTGGCAAATAATGATTATTATTGATGTACAGCGTTCCTGATATTCAGCTTGCATTTGTATATTAAACAGCTGTATTTCTTTTTTCAGTACAAATGGTTCACATCCAGCAACAAATCCACGTGTCCACTCTGTCGAGAGACATTCTTCTGAAATAAAACTGCCTTTCTTCTTTCTGCGAGCTGAATAACATGAAGAGCAGGCGATAAACTGTATGTTGAAAGAAGCTAACTCCTTGGAAATAATGTCAGTTACTTTAAATTCTTCACCAGTGGAATATGACACATATTTACCTCTGGACTGTTGTTTTTGTAAGTTTGAAGATTCTTCTTTGATATAAAGAAATAGATAACAATAATTTATTTTAATTGGTATATTTTTAAGATATGTTAAAAATTTCAGAAATAATGCAGAGTTATGTCTGAAAAAGTGGTGTTTAAGCCACAGCATAGTTGATTAAAACCTCTTATTTTAGGCATATTCTAACATGGTGTTATGTAATTAACCCAGATCATACCTCTTAATATAACAGGTGAATATAAAAGAGGTGGTATAAGGACTTGATTTTTGATTATGATGCATTCATAATAGTCCCTCTCATGGAGGAAAAAAAAATGTTGTTGCTGTTAGACATTAAGGCATGAAACTACAGTGATAATCTTCTGTTAAAGCATAAAATTTAAACATAGCCTGTTCTAAATTAACACGTTTATAAACTGAAGTTTCCCTTTAGCAGTTTCTTTTTCCCAAAACTCCTCAGCCATCCAGCAGCCTAAAAACATGAAAACTCAGAAGCCCAACTAAGTACAGAGAGCACAATCATTCCTGCATGACAATGAATAACACCATCTATTTATTGCTGATTGGCTTCTAAAGGCATACACACTTATCAGTCTTTGTTTATCTTCATTAGCTGGCAAATTAGCTATCGCTGAATGTCCACTGTACTTCCACTGTCCTATAATAATAAGGACTCGTAAGTGAATATACAGATGTATCTGAATTTAATAGCTTTCAACTCTACATTTTTTCATGCCTTCTTTTTTTTAACAGTGGTAGCATACTAATATATTCCAACCTGGATGATATTTGTGGTGGATTTCTTTGAAAAGTCAATAAAAGGGGGGAATAAATAAATTTTGTCAATCTCTGTAGTCTCTGGATTGCTGTCTCTTCCTCTGTGTGATAAACTTTCAGGCATTAATAGTATAAATTTTAGGTTCTGTATGCTTTCTCAAAGTTGGTCACTTTTGAAGTGACAGCTCTAGGAATGATTTTAGCTGTTGATAACTGAAGTCTATATTTTTAACAGGTAAGACTGGGCTTCCAGAGGAGAAATTCCTTGACAATTTTTTTGAGTAAGAGAGAATGGAAAAGATTTAACACTGGTATTGAAAAGGTCTAACTGAAAAGACAGAGTAGGTAGAGCTGTATTCTTTCATAGTTACTGATGCTAAAACTCCAGGATTGTCTCAGTTGCATCACTTTGGTTATTCTGTTTACAAGGTCAGTAACTGACTTGAAGGCCAGTTGGGGTTAACCAGGTAATGCTTGAAAAGAGCCTTGTTAGACTCTTCTAGCAGACCTTAACAAATGCTAAGTGTACATACACACATCTGTAGATGGCAAATTTCAAAATTAAAAAAAAATTACCTGTTGTGTCACTAGTTCCCAGTCCTCACGAGGATGATGGGAGCATAACAGGGATCACCTCTGGCAGAACTCATTCTACCATTTCGAGAAGTACTTCCACCAAAGCTGCAGCAGACCAATTGGAGAGTTGGTTCTCCACCAGGAGAACTGCCTCATGAATTATTTAAGTGGATGCATGTATTTCCTTTTCCAGGTAGCCAGTTGTTAGATAGTTCAGTGCAATCATTCTTTTGTTCAAAGCATGTTGTTTTATTACACTTTCTGTTCTGATTTTTATTATTCTGTCCTTTATAACTTAAAACTGCACACACTGTTGAGTGTTGTGATCTAATGTGCCGGATGACTGCTCTCTTTTTATCTTTGATTACCTATTTTAAAAATAATTCTTTAGTGATAACTAAAATCTTCTGATTAGCCAAAGCGGTCAACACCGTAAAACTTCTAGAGGGGTCTATGGCTGTGACAGCATTTTGGTTCATTCAAACAGCCCTGTGCCTATAACATCAAATCCCATGATTCTACAGAAAGACAAAATTGTGCATAAAACCTCTTCTAACAGTTTTGTAAGGGGAAACTGAAGCCAAAAAAAAAAGTGTGGCTTTGCTAAGGTCTGTCATCAAGTCAAAAAGGTTCTAGAAGTAGGAAGCAGGCAAATTGCAATATAGCTTCTCAGAAGTGACTAGCTGGTCACTACGAAATCAAAACTTTGCTTAAAATCTTCAGTGTGGAAACACTTCATATCACGTACGGCACAAAGTTTCTCTTAACAAGTTATTCAGAAGGCAAAACAAAGTCCTGAGTCAAGCCTCACTTTGGTCAAGGAAATGCAATTTTTTTTTTAGCCTCAGTAGTTTCAAGAACTGTAATTTCTAGTATATTGTATAAATGTTAAGCAACACCTTTATCATGACTGCATCCTCCTTCTAAACCCTCTTGTTGTGTGTTTGTGTTCACATTCATGTTCATTCATATAAAAACAAATGGACAGAAAAGCTACTGAAGGGAGCTGTTAGCTGTGTTTGAATTGTTGAATTGACTTGCAGCCTTGTTCTTCAGTGGCCTGCTAAGCTGGGGAACGGCACCTCTCAAGAGTGTAAAACAATCACCACTGCACATTTCCTGCAATTCAGTCAGTCCTTTTTTCTACCTTCTTCAGGATGGTTTAAAGAATAATTTTTATGCCAGACTGGCCTAAGTTGACTTTTGACCTATATGAGCTTCTTTGCAGTCAAATACCTCAAGTGGCATAGAAAGGCATGTCTGTGCTAACAGCACCTCCACTTTTGCCTGTCTAAACCCTCCTTTTTCAGTCTCCTGGAGAAGTTTTTTTAGGTCACTGCAGAGGAAAGCTCTCCATTGGGGTCTGTTGATCAGGAAATACCTTCCTATTTTGGATACTGATTTTGAGAAAGGACTTTTATTCCACTTCTCTACTTCCTTGCAGTCATTGTTTTCAGTTACCCAGGAACTAGCTTTTTTAACTGCATGCTTTTTTCCTCCTTAATACCTTTTCATGGATGACTACTCTTCATCTAGATTACTCCATAGTAGTATCCTCCTTGTAAAATGGCATAAAAGGGAGCACAACCACCATGTTACTGCCCAGAAGACTTCAGGAAAGGAATAGCATGCCTTGAATCTTAGAATTGTTAGGGTTGAAAAGACCTTTAAGATCATGAAGTCCAACCAACCCACCACCACTTCCATGTTCACTATTAAACCATGTCCTCAAGTGCTATATCCACATGTTTTTTGAACATTTCCAGGGACGGTGACTCCACATTTCCCTGGAAGCCTATTCCAAAGCTTGACAACTCTCTGTGTCAATTTATTTTTTTTTTAATACCTAATCCAAACCTCCGCTGGCACAACTTGAGGCTTTTTCCTCTCATCCTGTCACTTGTTACCTGTGAGAAGAGGCCAACCCACACCTGGGTGCAACCTCTTTTCAGCGAGTTGCAGAGTGACAAAGTGTCCCCTGAGCCTCCTGTTCTCCAGGCTAAACACCCCCAGCTCCCTCAGCTGCTCATCAGACTTGCCCTCCAGACCCTTCCCCAGCTCCCTTGCCCTTCTCTGGATATGCTTCAGCTCAACATTCTTCCTGAACTGAGGAGCCCAAAACTGAATCCAGGATTTGAGGTGTGGCCTCACCAGTGCCCAGCACAGGGGCCCTGGTCCTGCTGGCCACACTATTGCTGACACAGGCCAGGATGCTACTGGGCCTCTTGGCCACCTGGGCACACACTGGATCATGTTCAGCCACTGTCAACCTGCACCCCCAGGTTCTTTTCTGCTGGGCAGCTCTCCAGCCACTCTGCCCCCAGCCTGTAGTGCTGCAGGGGGTTGTGGTGACCCAAGGGCAGGACCTGGCACAGGAAAGACACTTGCTTCTCCTTTCTGTTCAGAAGTACACCATTTCCTTCTGACAGAAACAAACTTGCTCATTGTGCCTTAGACCTGTAAAGGTGCCTGATACTACATCAAAAGGAGTACCACTGATTCAAAGTATTCCTTTAAACCCAGCATAGCTACAAACTGGCTATAAAACCAGGAGGAATTACATCAAGTAGGTTATTATAACAAGACACAATGACAAATATACAAATACTTATTTATAGAGGAAAAAGCCTTTGGTGCTTAAGTGCAAATACAGCAGGGTGGGTTACTTCATGGTTCCTCCACAACTGCCCTGCAGATAGCCAGAGGATAACTGTACCTCTGCCAGCAGACAACAGCTGGTTCACATCCAGAATAAATATAAATAGAGTCTTGATCAGTCTCACTGCAGTAATCAGGAAGTGAGAGTACACCTCAAGAAGGTCAAAATCTTGGTTTAAAAATTATTTGACAACTTCAGTGTTCAGCTGACAATTAGATGTTCAACTTTCTGCACGCCTACTACCTGGAAGGTGAAGAGAAATTATCAAGACTTCCTAAATTTGAGGATAGTCAGCTTCTCTTGTCCCGCTTGCCTGGAAAGTACTTGTATGCCTTCTAAGCCACTTTTCTTCATTGTTTCCAGAATTTCATCTGTAATTGAAAGTTCAGTGTTTACAACTGAATTACAAACTGGTTATAAAGTATCTGTCAAACATAAATTGTAAAGCAAAGATTATAAACTATGTCCTCTTATTCTTTCAGACAGTAATTTTATGCAAAATAATCTCCCACCAAGAATAAAGCTTACAATTTCCTACCCAAAGTTCAGTATTTTGCTATTAATAACAAAGAAAAATTCTGTATGAAGCTAAACTGTAGGAGAAAGGAAAAAGGAGATTTTGCAGCATCATCTCCCAAAAGCTGCCTAATAAATCAGGTGTGAAGAATAATCTTTCTTCTTAAAATTACTTGATAACTTGTAGCCATTAGCATTAGACCAGAAGAAACAAGCCCAAATCTTTTCCCTACACCTTTAAAATGAAAGACATCACATTTCCAGCTAAGGGCTTTTGCCTTTTAAGTTAACACCACCATTCTCTTCCATGAGGAAGGATTGGCCTGGCTTCGTTAATTAGTTCAGAAGATTTACAGTCACCTCTCAGACTTGGAACTGAACTCTTGCAGAGCTGCCGGGGTCCTACATACTACCATTTTCCAAACTAGCTTGGGGAGGTCTCAGTTTTGATAAATTTGCTTGTATTTTTGGTCTAGCTGTGATCAATATTTTGATTAATAGTGTTAAAACTGGTTTGGCACATTTAAATGTCCAAGGACAGTGATCACCTGGATTATTTTCTTTAATTGTGACCAAGTAGAATAATCCTCCTGGTGAAAGTAGGTCTGGTACTAACGGGAAAACTCTATCCATTACCTCTCTGCCCTGTTTGCCACCAGCCCAGGATACCTCTATTCCATGGCTTTTCACCTAGGAAGAATGAAAACAAAGACTGTCATAACATAGAATGATAGAATTGTCACTGGTACTTGTAAGAGAAACATCACTATAATCTCTAGCTTTAGGTGTCTGCCATTAGAAGTCTGACAATTTTGATTCAGCAGGTTAGTTTATGCAGCAAATTACTTCAAGACTACTTTCTACAGGGTGAACATACTATTTTGTTTCAAGTTCTATTCTTAAACTGAATTAAAAGAGCTAGATTGTCACATACTTTGTATGTATTTTCTTGTAATGTTTTATGAGCTTGTTTACCAAGTCAAAGGTGGTCAGAAAACTTCTGAAGTGTTTATGGGTCAAATTCTGAGAGTAGGAGTCTGCAGAAGCAGAGGATTTTTATTCTGCAGGAAACAAATGCATTTTCAGTTGAAAGTCTTCTATAAGAATTCCTTAGCATGCCTAACAGAAGTCCTACATGGTTTATACTTGATGGAGGAAGCAGGTATTGAGAAGCAGCAGCTAGCAATCCTTATTCCCATGTAGAGTTTATAGGGAACTCCAGCATTTTCACTAAATAAGTGCTGGTCCTACAACATCCTTTGCTATTTCAAAAAACCCTTGCAGTTTTCATAGCAGGGTCTTTTTGATTTGCCGTCTCTCCTCTGACAGTAGAAATACTATTTTTATTGTGTATTTCAAATTTTTCTTACCTCTTCAGAAGGTGTTACCACATATGGTGGATTAAACAGCAGCAAATCAACCTTCCCATTTAGTCTTGGAGACAATCCTTTGACCTGTGGATGAAGTTGATGATTCTTTTGTGTGGGGTTTTTTTTTGAAACATGAAGAATGCAAATATTTTGTAAAAATACAGTTACGTAATGCTGGATATTCTAAGCATTTCATCCTGACTTAGGAATACTAACCTTTACTTTCTATGTGCAAGAGAAGCATCAAGAAGAAGTACCCATGCAGAGCAGAACAATTTTGATAAGTCTTATGATTATGTTATGCATAAGTTGTAGAAAAGCAAGAGACACATGTGCAAGCACAGGGGTAGTACTTTATTCTTGCTCAGTTCAGAATTTAAGTTAGATATAAAAGAATGTTGAATTTTTCATTGGTTAACATTTGTTAGCCAAAATGACCGATCTGTGACAACTGCAGTTCAGTTCCCAGGTATGAGCAGTTGTTCATCCATTTTAAATACCATTTATTGTTGCCTATCTACATCGTCTTCTGTAAACATATATATTCAGGGTTAAAAGATGAGAAAATTAGGTTTTCTCCATATCAAATTTTGTAAGAAACTAAAAGTAACAATATACACAGGTCCTAATTAAATCAGAAAAGGCTGAGAACTAAGAACTGTACAGCTTTAGAGGAAGGGGTATGATAATGTCAAGTGACTACAGAATTCCTTGTCCAGCATTTTCCCAAACTGTATCTATACAATTTATTTTTTAAATTAATTCAATGACTTTTTAGAGCTTAATTATGAATTTTAGAGCTTGAGTAGTGTGGTTTTCTCTTCTTTCAGAAACATTTTTGTTTTGTTTTTCCCCATCCATGCTTTTAAAAAGAAGTTTTGTTCTAGGCTTTTTAGTTACTTTTCAGAATCAGGGCCACAAAGATGATTACAGGTCTGGAGCATCTCTCTTACGAGAAGAGACTGCAGGAGCTGGGCCTGCTTAGTCTGCAGAAAAGACTGAGGGGGGGGGATCTCATTAATGCATATAAATATCTCAAAGGTGGGTGCCAAGAGGATGGTGCCAGACTCTTTTCAGTGGTGCCCAACAACAAAACAAGGAGTAATGATCATAAACTAAAACACAACAAGTTCCACCTCAACATGAGGAAGAACTTTACATTGAGGGTGGCAGAGCACTGGAACAGGCTGTCCAGGGAGGTCATGGATTCTCCCTCTCTGGAGACATTCAAAATCCACCTGGACATGTTCTTAACTATTGTGTGACTCCGTGATCTCTAATAAGTATTAAAAAATTACAAAAACTATAAAGAAGATATTATTGAAACATCTATCTTACCAAGTCAGTAATGACTGGCTGAAGGTGAACATTGTTAAGCCGAGCTGTCTCCTGTGTACAGTAAGCTGCCATGGGGTTGATATCTGTACATCTAAAAGCAAAATATTACTAAGTGTAAGTTATAGGCTACCGTACATGGAAGTTTAACCCTATGAACCACATGCTAATTTATGTACTCTCAAAGACAATATCCATTTCAGCATCCTTTACTTTGCAAGTAAATAGCAAAAAACACCTAGTAAAATACACACATTGTATTAGCAGCTAAACCACTCAATGCTACACTGTAAGTTTTAATGGCTGTCTGAAAGTTGAAGTGTAGGATTTCCACTTCAACGCTAGCTCTGCATAAATATATATATTCATACAAGTCTCTAATAAAATTCAGTTACTCCCAACACCCAGGTAACTAACCTCACGAGACCACAGGAAGACTAGTCAGTGGGTAAAATTTAAGATTCAACCCAGCAAACACAAGTGTAGGCATGGAAAAATGGAATTGTAGTCACAGCACTATTTAATTACAGAACCTGAAGTAAATAGTTCAGCACCTGTTGTGGTGCATCCCCTTTTGCCCTCAGTCCACATCTCAGAAATGCTCAACAGGCTTTCTTTTTGCTTTAATTTCCTTAGCTGTAGAACTGAGCTAATGTTTCTTTGTAAACAGTTTTTAAAATGGGAAAATGAAAAATATATATTTGAGGGCTAAGCATTCTTTATTATTGCATGCAACAGTTTAAATGCTGTTATACTTACATGTACAGTGCACTGGATCCAAGAATGGAAGAAGCTAGAAATGTTGAAACCACACCAGATCCAGATCCTATTTCAAGGCAGATCTCAACTCTAAAGAGAGAAAACTCTGGATGACTTTTATTTGTAACATATAAGAGCATCACAACAGACACAGAATTAGTCAAGACAGTGTTATGAAACATGCTCTCCTCCCAAACGTGCTAAAGTCATAGAATATCATAGAATATCCCGAGTTGGAAGGGACCCACAAGGATCACCAATTCCAGCTCCTGAACTTGCTGGTCACATGGCCCTCAATGCTCACATTATGTCACCTCTCCCATAGCGGCTTCCAGGCCTCCTGGTGCCCATACAGATGATTCCTGGTGATCACAAGCCACTTCTGGAAACACATATGTTTCTCCTATGCCTAACATGAAAGTTTCTGTTAACTACGCAATCTCAATAGTACAAGCTACATTTCTACAGCATTTATTGTACATTTATTGCAGCAAGGCTGAACTGCAACAGAAATTATGAAAGTTCACTGTGAAGCCGCTCGAAGAGAGCAGGGCTCAAATGCATGGCTCAGAATATTCTGAGCTGGAGGGGACTCACAAGGATCATCAAAGTCCAACTCCTGCCCCTGTCCAGGACACCCCAAGAATAACACCATGTGCCTGAGAGCATCATCCAAACCCTCCCTGAACTCTGTCAGGCTTGGGGCTGTGACCACTTCCCTGGGGAGCCTGTTCCAGTGCCCAACCACCCTCTGGGTGAACAATGTTTTCCTGATATCCAACTTCAATCTTCCCTGACACAGCTTCATGCCGTTCCCTCGCGTCTTGTCACTGGTAAACAGAGAGCAAAGATCAGTGTCTGTCCCTCCACTTCCCCTCACGAGGGAAGCTATGGGGTCTGCCCTCAGTATGCTCTTCTCCAGGCTGAACAAGTCCAGTGACCTCAGCCACTGCTCGTACGGCCCCTCTAAACCCTTCACCATCTTCGCAGCCCTCCTCTGGATACTGACAGCTTTAAGGCCCCCCTGAAACTGTGGCGCCCAGTCCCTCTGTGACAGCAATCCCTCAGCAGATAAACCCCTCCTCGGGTGCCTGGCGGCCGGTGCCGGTCCCGCCCCTCCGCGCCGCCCCTACCGAGCCTCCCGTAGGCGGCCCGCGTCCTGCTCCAGCGCATCCAGCAGCAGGAAGGTGTCCTCGGCCGGCTCGTACACGTCGCGGAAGGGCCCCCGCGGGCCCAGGTGTCCGTACCGCGGGGTGGGCAGCGCCGGCCCCGCCATGGCGGCACCTCCGGCGCGGGGGGGAAGGGGCGGGCCGGGGGGAGGGAACTGCGCGGCCCGGGCCTGCGGCGGGCGGGGCGGCATCGCCGCGGTCCCACTGAGCCGGCGTTAAACACCCTCAGTGTGCTCGGCCATCCCGCCGTGGGTGTCCGTGAGTGCTGATGTGAGAGAGCCCTGCTGGTGTTGCTCATAATTTTGGTGTCCGCTTCACAGATTGTGTTTCCACCGTGAGAACTGCCGCAGGGAGTCAGCGTGAACACCGAATGAAAGAGGTGCTGAGGGAAGTTCTCGAAGCACACAGGGGAAACCCTTACATTGATACTCAACTTAAACGAAGCTCTATTTTCCAGTTATAAACCACTATGTTTCTGTGATTTTTAGTCAACAACACCTCACCGCATGCTTATGTACCAACCCTGTGAACTTCAGAGTCGTAGAATCACAGAATGGCTTGGGTTGGAAGGCACCTTAAAGATCGTCTAGATCAAACCCCCCTGCCATGGGCAGGGACACCTTCCACTAGACCGGGTCGCTCAGAGCCCCATCCAACCTGGCCTTAAACACTTCCAGGGATGGGACAGTCACAGCCTCTCTGGGCAACCTGTTCCATTGTCTCACCACACTCACACTAAAAGAATTTCATCCTAATATCCAATCTAAACCTACTCTCTTTCAGTTTGAAGTCTTAACCCCTTTTCACTACATGCTTCTGTAAGTAGTCTCTCTCCATCTTTCTTCTAGGCTCTTCGGGTACTGGAAGACCTCAATTAGGTCACCCTGAAACCTTCTCTTTTCTAGGCTGAACAATCCCGATTCTCTCAGCCTTTCTTCATAGGAGAGGTGCTCACTCCAGTCATCCTGGTGTCCTCTTCTGGACTTGCTCCCACATGTCGATGTCCTTCCTGTGCTGGGGACCCCAGAGATGGATGCAGTACTCTAACAAAAATGAGGCTCTGCAAAACTAAGAATTGAGGGGAAATTTCAGGGCACAGGTCAGACTAATAATTTTCTCTACACAACAAACCCCAAACAAATTGTGATCAAAAGCAGAAGAGAGAGGTGGACAAATTCTAATTCCCATTAAATGTCTGTGTTCAATTATTAATGCAGTGAACACTTAAATTCTGACAGTAAGATGAATGTCTAGGTCAATGAAGGAAACAGGTGATGTTAACAAACAAGTTAGAATCTTAAAATGTTATTTTGATAGCAATTTTGAGTAACATGAGTTTTGGCAAAAGAAGGAAAAAAATGCACCTAAACAACTAACCCAGTGGATTAATCTTTGTTGACTTATGTATATAAATGTACTTAAAATACAAGTATGCATGTGGCCTGGTTCCGGACAGGACAGGGTTAATATTTGCAGTAGCCAGGAGGGAACATGGCTGGGACCTGCAGGTTATTCTATACCACTTCACCTCGTTTTCTGGGAACAGGGAAAACGCCTGCTTCCGGGTCGGGGTAGTGTGGCACGGTCAGTTATGGTTGAAGGTTTCCACAATAACATTTCTTGTACATTCTGTTATTAGTATTGTTGCTGTTACTGTTTGTTTTCTTGTCTCATTGCTGTTTCCAATAAATTGTTCATATCTCAACCTGTGGTCTTTAACTTTTGTGCTGCTAATTGTCCTCTCCAGCCTGCCTTGGCTGACAAAGAGCAGGAATATCACATTTGTGTCAGAATGGTGGGTTCTGACTGAGGTTAACGTTAATCTGCTCTTACCTGGACCATCAGTGGAGGAAAACAGACTGCTTCTGTGGGCCAGGGGCTTGACAGGAGACAATAACCGGTTTTTTAGCTTAAAAGGAAACCCAGTAGATACTCCTTCATTTCATCTGTCTTCCCAAAGATTTGCTGCTGTGCCAGAGAAACAAATACTTGTAAAACATATTAAGCTTGCATAAAATTCCATTACTTTGGCAAAATGAAGTCATGTTAAGAGACAGAATTTTGCATTGTGTCCATATTGGGAAAATTAATTCTTTGGATATATTTTTTTAGTCTCTACAGGTGGTCAAGCTTTGGAGTGCTGTAGAAGAAATTACTTCACCATCTTCAGCTGTACTGGCTATTATTTTTGGCTGTTTCATACTTCATGAAATCTAGTTAATTATTATTGGGGTTTTTTAATACTTATAAGTCCTTCTGGGTGAATTTTACAAAACATTTATTTTTATTGCTTATATAACTGCGTACCTAAAATGTTTTTCTTGGTAGGTAACTGTACTGGTTTTGCCAAAACAGATTCTATTTCAATTTTGGGAAGTTGTTGGAAGGCTAATACGGGAATATGTTTTTCAGTGGTGCCTGTGCTATGTTATTAAAGTAGGCTTTATGGAGATGAAAAATTGTTCTTGACAGGAATCATAACCATTTGTTTACGCTAAGATGTATGGCTTCATCCCATTTGGAATTCAGTGCCATACTTCTCACACAGCGAATCCTTAACCCATGATTTCCTAACTGCCTGTCAGCCCTCAGAGATCTCCATTATAAAATTCTCAAACATTTCACAGCTGCATCTGGCCCTCTGTGTCCTGGAAGTAATGTAGACCTGTGCTGGACCTATGAATGCTCCTGTTTCACTGCATTTGAGGTCTGGAAGAAATCTCTTTATCTAAGTAGTCCAACAAGCAACCTCATCTTATAATATCTTTCTCAAACTGAGCAAGTATCTTCTTGAAAGTATATAGGTTTCTTGCCAACAATATTTCTAATGAAAAGCTGTTATAACACTTTGGTGCTCTAATCATTAGAAACCTTGTAATTCCTGGCCTAAAAGCAGAGGTGATAGATTTTATACTCACTCTTCTGGCAAGTATGTAAGCTTAGGTGATTCTTTTCATAGTTTTTCCTTGATGAATTTGTAGACAAAGAAAGGTTCTCATCAGCCTTTGTTTTGCTTGATTAAATAAGAAATGCTCCTAAAATTTCCTGCCATAAGACATTATTTTAATTTCTCTTACTGCACTTCTAGACTTTCCATGTATGGATTCAAGTCAGACTTCATACTGAATGTGACTTGTACAAAGACTGCAGGTAATACCTTATTGATGCTTTGAAGAATTTACTAGCTTCATTATCTCTTGTGGGATTTTCCTGGTACATCCCAGGATCACGGTTGCACTTTCTTTGCAGAAATAGTTTCTTTCCATTTTGTGATCAGCTGGTTTTCCTTGGTTTTTCCTCACTGGTTTCCAAATAACTGACTATAAAGTGAAAATTCCATAGCATTTTATTGTTTTTAATAGTTCCCTTTTTGCATGCCTATTGCTCACATTCTGGTCGTTTTGTTCAGCCCCCCAAAGGTTGTCTCCTGATTTCATGTTGTCATAGTGATGCCAAGGATACTGATAAAAAAACTTTAGTAAAATCAGCCCCAGGACTGGTATTTCAGGAAGTAACCATTAGTGACTTTGAACCTCATACTATTCATTTTCGGTATGGTATATGACTAACTTTTATTCAGTTTCTTGTTTGTTTTATGTTTCTGCTGCCAATTCCATCATTTCCAGCTTAGTTCATACTTTTCCACAAAACATCACATCTAAAGCTGCATGGGAGTCTAAGTAGATTATTTTTGTGTTTAAAAATGGAGGCAGACACTGCAGTAATATACTGCCGCTGCCATCACAACCTAAATCATCTGTCTGTTGTTTTTAACTGTTATTCCAGGTCAACAGTACAGAGGTCCTGCTGCTTTCCTTCTTGTCGTTTTGAACACGTGTGCAAACCATTTTGATCTAGTATTTAATATCTTCGATAGAATTCTAGAATCATAAAATGGCTTGGGTTAGAAGGGATGTTAAAGTTCATCTAGTTCCAGCCCCTCTGCTGTGGACAGGGACACCTCTCACTAGTCCAAGCCCCATCCAACCTGGCCTTGAACACTTCCAGTGATGGTGCAATAGTCTTCATTAAGACTATTTCAAACTTATTTTAACATTTTTTGTGTTACATTGTATATTCTAGCTTGCAAGACATGGCTTTTTTACTGATCAGTCTTCTATTCTATTTCATTTTGACACTGCATGTTCATAATATCGTACTTGAGATGGTTATTTAACCAGTCAGGTTTGAGGCCTATTCCTGCACTCATTCATTCTCTTGCCTCCATCTTTAACCACAATCAAATATTGTCATCCCCTTTTGACCCTGACATCCTCAAATAACCTGCTCATTAATTAGCTAAGACCAAAATACTATAATCTTGTTACTGTTTCCCTGACTATTAAGCAAAGAACTATTGCTGCTGTTGATGTGAAAAACACTTGGATGTTACTAATTTCTAGTCTTTTGATAATTAACTTCTTTTTCCAAGTGTCACATTTTCCATTTACCCATTCTAATTGTATACCTTAGTTTCCAAACCATACCAAAAGCCAAACCTTGTAGCTTATACTGCAATAAAATTCCCCATTTTCTGTAGATCCTGTCAGATGAGTCAATGCTTGGTTTTATACACTATTCTTTTGTATTTCTAAGGTGAATAGCTCAAATCTTTTTTTACCCCCTTGCTTCCCTCCTGACCGATGAAAATTCTTGCCCTTACCTCATGACATTGCAGCAATCCATCATGGCATGTAAGGTTTAGTCACACTGTGGAATTTTTAGACCTGCTAAGGAGTGGTCCAGGGACGACACATTAGAGAGTAAGAATGATGAATACTTGTTTATAGCCCTTCCTGAAAAGATCTCAGAGTGCACGTGAAACTTTGAAAACCAGTTACCAGCTATTGAAGGAATTACATCACTCAACATTGAAATGCAGCTCCCTCAGGGAAAAGGCAAGGAACTTTTTAATAGTGTACAAAAGTATTTCAACACTTCAGGAGAGAAAATGAATAATGCCATAATCAACTGAGCAGAAAGAGAATGTGTAGTGAGTAGTCATATATACTTTTTTAAACTGGATGGAGGCCAGAAACCTAGGAAAAACCTACTGCTAATGTAAAAAAATGGAATTGTTTTTTTTCAGCCACCAATGATCAAGTTCTTTGGTTTACATTTACAACTTAAACCAAAACACCTCAAGCAGCAGAGTCATAGTCTCAATTCTTTTATAATTGAGATACCAATGTTTCCTCCTTCAGGGGGCAGGAATGATGTCTGATTTCCCCAAGAACTTACAAAAAATTAAGTTCTATACAGGACTCTATAGAGAAGCAAGAACACCACAGTCAGTTCGTTATTTAAATTAGTCAATGTTAGAGACAACTATAATTAACATCAGTCTTGTCTTATCATAAGCATCTGAGTAGGTATAAATGCACCAGATCAACTCTTTACTTATTTTAAATTATAACTTTATTGACTTCATCAGAGCTGTAGCTACTCTAGTGTTCATAAACAGAAGACAGAAAACCTAGAAAGAACAATTATAATTGTCCTTATACATTTCAGAATAAATTTGTTGTCATTCATCAGAAAATAAATCACTATCATGGAAAATCAGGGCAAATCTGTTTAGCAAAGGCAAGAGATACCACAGGCATATCTTAGGTTAGAACAGGATAAACAAAACTCGATATTATTATCCTATTATATGTATTGGTGTTAAGGTATATAAGCACACATATATTTATAATGGCATTCTATAAAAATAGTATTGTATATACATAATATATATTATGTGTCAATGTATATATACATTTATATATATATCTATATAATCCTATTTTTTGTGTGCTGTTTTATAAAGAAGCTCATAAATGGGTGATGGAAAGCTGCTGAAGCCAGGAAAAGACTGTCTTTCTGAAGAATATATTAGGATGTGAGGCAAGGGAAGAGTAAGAATAAAATGAGATTGAAGCTTTTAAAACAGTGAATGTTGACAACTACATTGTATGAACTGAAAAAATTGAAGCTATAAGTGAGTTTTCAGGAACTCATGAAACTTAAAGGCAAGAAATATACTTTGTTCCACAGTATATCATTAAGTAATAGAACTAATTTTCAAAATATGTAAATGAAGCCAAAAGTTTCAAGCAATTTGTTTAAGGAATAGACAATAAAATACACTAACACTTTTGCTTTAAATAAAAAACAGCTGTCCATGAATGAGCATTTAGAGTAGGATTTATTAAATGCTCAGGTTATTCAAACATTATGTACTTAGTTTTAATTCTGATGGGGTTACTCTACATTAAAAGTGAGTTCTGCGAGTTCTTAGTAGAAAAAAAATGTTATTTTCTGTTGACTTGTTGAAGCAGGTTATACCAGAGAAACTCACTACAAAAAGTGATTCAGTTTGAACTGAAACATCTCTAAGGAAGAGGCCTAAGAACAACCAAACATAGTGAGGAGCTTTGAGCAGATTTTTTTTAATTTTACTATTTCTAGTAAGAGGCCTATAATTGTCAGATCAAAGTGGCACTCAGGCAGGAAAAGGGTTCTGGTCTCTGGTCCAACCTCCTGCCCAAAGCAGGGCCATCTCTGGGATTAGACCAGGCTGCCTGGGGCTTTCTCCAGGCAGGTTTTGAAACCCTTCAAAGATGGAGCCTGCACAAACTAACCAGCAACTGTTCCTCTCCTTGACTGTGAGAGTCAGGGTGAGAATGTTTTCCTTCCCATCCAGCCTGAACTTTGCTTTTT